AAACATTGTTAAATAAGCATTATACTAATTTTTTTGTTGAGTCATCTCATTAATGGAACAGACACCGAGGCAGAAATGTTACAAGTGAATGAAATTTGATATTTATACAATTAGAAAATATTTTGTAAACAAAGTACATATAAAACTCGACACAGCGCATACCTTGCAATATTAAATAAAAAAATCTTTCCCAGTTCTCAGAATTACTGCATAAATTGAATTCTTGTTGGAATTAGGTGCACAAAACTTAAACCTTATCAATCATTTAACAGATAAAGCTATCACGAAGGCGGTTGGTGATCTCAAAAGGTTCAATTACTCAAAATTAAATATAAAGTGCTGTATCTGATTTTTTTACCGCACTTCTGATTTTTTAATGAATCTAAAAATAGATCTATTTATTAATGACCATGATTTTTAAGACAACTAATAAAAGCACTTCATTGTTTTTTATACATAAATTATTTAATACGACACTTATTTTATACTAAAAAAAATAAAATATAAAATACAAATCATGGTATAATAACACAAGTATTTGTGCTTATTCCTTTAAAGTGCCGTCCGATTTTTTACCATCCTTTTGACTTATGAATTAAACTAGAACTAAGTCTAATCAGGTCCTGATTTTTTTGCAATTATTGCTAGCTATACAGAACGCAATTTTTTATACCAAATTGCTTTCTACGAGACTGCACTGTTAAAACGGTGTCAAAATCACCAATTTTATTTACATTTTCGTATCACTATAACTTGATTTGTTTTGAATAATTTTTACTTTATACAGAGTGAATCACAAACGGTGACCAAAAATGAAACCCCGTATTCTTAAGGGGAGTCTATTATACAGGGTATTAGAAGTTCGACTGCCTTAATTTTAACAGACGATAGAATACATTTAATTAGAGCAAGAAAAATGTATGTCAACATTTCCGAGGGTTGTCTACTTAAACGTTTTAAGGAAAGTTACTGGAAATTCACCATTGAATTTGTCCCACCCCGTACATGAATTCGTCCACCCGGAAGAGCATCAGGTGAAATTTCGGAATTATCCAAATCCGCGCTCAGTCCCGTGTAGGCAATAACCCATTTTCAAAAATAATGCAGCAACCCCGGTCAGTTGGCAAACCGCCAGCAGAGTTCCTTTGCTTTGCACCGCCATTTATTTTGTTTATTTGCCCAGCGCTCTACGGCTGTGACTAAGACACTATATATGCGACTTGTCCGACTCTTATTATAGCATCGAAAAGTAATTGCGCTTTCTAATTTTGTGACACCAAGAGCTTTTTATAATACGGAACCTTTATATAGCGCTAAGCAGTGTACAGGGTGAACCGATTGACGGTTCAACTCGACGAGTTTAAAATTTAAGTAAAAGGGTTACCCCTGAAAAATATCTCCGCAAATATTTTTCGTTAAGATCAAGTTAAAAAATCGTGGGTTTAATTTGCCCGATTTAATTTTACTGATATTAACGCGTTTTTTGGCCCCGTGGTATATTAATCATCCTGATGCGATGCCAATTCAGTACAGTGATCTCTTTAAATGATCAAAACACTCATATTCGTCACACGTATATAAATAAGTTTGCTTTGTCTCTTTCTAAAGGCTCGAAATGCGGACATTGTTCTAAAACTACCTCATAAGTAAATTTCTTAGAAGAGAAATTAACTTCAGAGGTCGATGGAAGTTCACAGAAAATTATTTTAAAATCCTTGATTTGTCACGAAATTATATCTTCCATTGTTTTTAAGAACCACAATGGCAAGCGCGTTTTTTAATCCACCTAGTACAACATGCCACTGTTTACATTTAAAAAAACAATTTTAGTAACAATCCCACACAAAATATTTCTAGTTGCTTGGTGTGGTGTAAAAAATGGATTTTTGCGTCTAAAAATACAACGTCTCGTTCTAATAAAATCACATTGAACCATGCAAAATGCAGTGACAGATACACAGGATGTATTTCAAGGCAATGTCAAAGGCTGAAGTCGCTCGCGTTGAGATACATTTTACGTAAATTCATGAATCTTGATCTAACAGTTCAACTAAACATTTAAATTAGTTAACCAGTAGCCATGGGCGTAGCTACAATTTTTACTTGGGGTGGGCCCAGGAGACGGGCCCAAAAAAAAAAACTCGCTCGCAATTAGCGACTTACTTACCGATATCAAATTTGAATTCTAAAAATCAATCTGACTCTAAAAAAAGATCGGGCAACCGATTTACCAATATGGCAAAGATGATATTATGTAGTATTTTTTTTCTGGAGTGGGCCGTACACACCCCTGCTCCCCCCTACTGGCATAGGCGTAGCTATAGACTCTTTTAGTGTGACGTCACATATTTAGGCAACCCTCAACAAATGGTCATAGTTGAAATTGTACAGATCGAATCTGACCCTTTTTTTACTATTTACCTACATAGATTAAAATACATACACTAATGTGCTTAAAACATACAAAAAACGATACAAAAGAATGTTTTTAAATTTAAATAAAGTACAAATTTAACATTAGCCGTGTTATTCCTAATGCGCATGCTCGGGAAGAATAGCCTCATACGCAGGTGAGATCTTGTTGATTTGTCATTGTCATTGCTGTCATCTTCTTTTGTTTAATCTTGGCATTTTCTATTTCTACCAAGTATTTTTATTGTTTTTCTTGGTGATGTGTTGTGTCAGTCTGTTTATCGAGTGTTTTTTTCTTCAAGTGGTTTATTATAGACATATTCTTAACCAGAACCAAACTTTTCTTGAATGATATCCTGTTGCGATGCTACTTCGCTTACATGAAATTATCTTTAATGTGCATGCTCAGTAACATTGAAATAATTTTAATTCATTAATTACTATAAAAGTCAATATTCTAAAAAATTAAAAATATAAATTCTATAATTTTTTTTGTTACTTGGGATTTGAAACTTCTTAAATATTTCTAATTTGCCAGAATTTCGCGATATTTAAGGTCATGCCAAAGAAGATATTTTTTTGGCACTTACGTCCAAAGTACATAAGGTCGAAAAGCCACAAGTTTTTTTTCAAAATTCCATCTCAAATACAGTGTAATAAACATTAAAAAAAAACATTTGTCATTTTTTGGGAACGCTATTTCATTTCAGAAACTTACAAATTTCTACGGCAATTACTTTTTGATTTTTTTTATGATTAAATTTATTTAAAATTTTATTTGTAAAAAAATTCTAGAAATATTTATTGTAAAGCGAATACCTTGGTACTTATTTTCGACTTATTGACTTGTAAACTAAGTTAAAAAAAGTAATACCTCATCTTTCTCTTTCTTCTTTGAAACATAATTATGACTGAATTGAAAAAAAACTCCTGTAACCCAAATTTTATCAACCAACGTAAAACATCACACCCTGCATCTCCGTAGGGAAGCGTCCTATCAAAAATTGTTACAGGGCAAAACTTGATTATTTTCATCGGTAGAATACGCCATTAAAGTTTGGCAAAGCATATCATTTACACTCTGTATATATATTTTTTTAATTTCAACACGCTGTATATCGGAAACGAGTGGCTCTAGATTACAGTGAGTTAAAAAACACCCTATACATCTTTTAATATTTTGATATAGTTCATAACTTTGCCAGTGAACAACGAATAATATTATATGCGGTTCGGTTTCTTTGTCAAATTAATAAGTGAATTCTTTGAAATATGTTATTACTTGCTAAAAATATGCAATTAAAACAAGAAAGTATTATTTATTTAAATATATAAATTGACCGCGATGTATTTTCATAGATGATATCATTGTAGATACATAAGACTATCCATTAAAAGCATTACATAATGTTTAAAAATTAATAAGTAGTCAAATGTAATAAAAATATGACATTTACCGACAAAAAAAGTATTATTGTAAATCTGAAGCTGTTATATCTCAAAATGAGGATTTGTTTTACTTATTAAAATACCCTTGTGTCAAAATCAAAAGACCTAAATAATAAAGGTATAATTAAAAAAAAAATAAAACCATTCGCTACACAAAAATTTTATTTATAGATCTACTTTTCCTCAGTTTTCGTTCACTGACCGTCTTCGCACCATTGGCACTAATAATACCTAATTTTCTCAAGATGACTAAGACCGTCACTTTTATTTTTAAATGACCCGTATTTGGGCCAAAAGAAGAATCAATACACGGCGTACAAACATAAATAAATTGTTTATTTACTATATTCGCACGCACACGTTAATAAAGTAAAACAGTTTAGTAAACGAATTATATAAAAACGACAATAAGTATTTTTAAAACTCACGAAAATGAGTAAGTGACATAAATAGATGAAAACAAAGAAAACCGTGTGGTGCTGTGTCATTGCTTTTAAAATATAAATATAGGTATCATAAATTGCCGAACACGCACAAGTACAATAAATTTAATCGATATCTAGTTCCACTACGTTTGAAATTGTAAATACGGGAATGAAAGAAATTAAAATTGTTCCGAAATATTGTTAATCAAGGCGAAACAGGACACCTGTTCGCGTTTGCAGGCCTCAAAGTTAAAAGGAAATTGCCTTGTATCAAAAAACTATTAAAAAACCATTAACTTCACTTTTCGATAGCGTAAACGATTCTTAACCGTATTTGATTTTTTGAAGCGACGAAAGAACAAAACAAATCTTCATACAATTTTACTGAGTCTAATTTTGAATTGATTTAAAAAACAATAATAAAAATAAAACGACCCACGCTCTAAAATGATTCGACTGAAATGTAGATTCTAACAAAGAAACTATTCGAGTAAAGCCCACTCCAGTTTTACTGCCAAAATTTTGTGAAAAGTAAATGGCGTTTTAATTTCGAAAATTAGAAATTATGTTTAAAAATTTATTCTCGTTATCGTTTCTGTTCTAGCGACATATCCTTGCGGTTACGTAGTTTTCTATGAGCGAACATGTCATCATAGTTTTTCGTCTACGGGGAAAGGTCAGGGGGTCGAAGGCAAAAAGTAAAAGCTGACTCACCAATAAGCAGCGACGGTTCCTTGTGGTCGTCGACCAGGGACGTCAAAACAAGCAACAGCGGATGGCCTATGGTAATCCTCTCCTTGTCGCTCGTCGAGTCGTCGTATATAATCACTTCGCGGAAGGAGCGTTTTTTGAGTACTTCCTTGCCCTCTCGCGTTGTGGCGAGGTCGGCCAAGGTAGCCTTCCCCTGCTGCAGCCTCCTCCTGTTGAACCTATCCGAGCAGTTGACGTTGATCGCACCCGATATGTGGTTCATGTTGTAACTCATGAAGGGCCTGCAGTCCAGGAGGATGTAGGACTTAGGGCCGGGCCTCCTGTCTTCCATCTTCGCCTTGAGGGCGTCGTCGTCCATGGTTTTGACATTGTTCAGCACCCAGGTCCGCTGGAGGTTCGCACTTTCCGCGCAGGGGCTAGTCGGCAGGCTCACGCTGGCGGTCTCCAGTTTGAATCTTTTCGGCGGACTCAGAGACAGATGGGTGGTTGGTGTCTGGGGACCGGGCTCACTGATGCTCCTGTTCAAAGGAAGCTTTAGACCGTCCCGCGGCCGACTACTTTCGAGGCAAACTGACATGACGCTCCGGTATAACGTCACAATCTATATCTGGAAGAGCTGAGAAAAAACTTATATTAGTGCCAACATCATGTTTTCTTTCTTGGCTGCGTTCGTTTTATTTGGACTTCCCGCGTGAAACGCGGCTCTAGCCCCCCCCCCCCTCTGCCGGTGGACTCTTTACGCCCAAATTTGTTCTACGCGCTCAGCGATGCACGTTGTTTTATTCATAATCATAACTGACAGCCAATAGCAACTTATGCAAACTATTTTACGCTGAGACGCTAACCAGGCATTTTATTTAAATTTCTTTATTCGAAAAACCTCCCAACTTTTAAACATTACAGTCCTGCGCCTTTATTAAAATTTGGTAAAAATTTAAAAAAATAACAAATCAAGTTCAAATATTTTTTTGATTTGGAATTTTAGATATTTATTTTTTTTGTGGAAACGAGTTATTTACTCAGAAAAAGTGCGAGTTGCTTTCTTTGACATTAGTTCAAAAAAATTTAGCAAATAAAAAATAAATCAAAAACTTACATTTTTAAAAGTTTACATAAAATTTTAAAGAGAAGTTTATAGAAATTTATATCAGGCAATTCTGAGAGGTGTAGAACATCATAATATTATAGATCTTTGGTACAAAAATTGCTAATAAAATTCTTCAAAAATTGGAACAATACTGTCAAAAAATTATATCAGGATTTATAATTCTGTCGTACCTAGTTCAAAAATTTTTATAAAATAGACCCTAAGAACGCATATATTAAGTATTTGAAAACTATAACTTCCTTAAAACTGTAAATCCAAAACCTACGATTTTTTCAAAATTGCTTATCAGCAATTGTTTTATTTAATATAAAAAATACACTTCTTGCTAAAACATTAACCTGACATTTTATTTAATTTTTTCAATTCGATATTCTTTTAATTTTAAAAACTATAATCCTGTTGCCTCAAAAGTTGATAAAAACAAAAAAAAAACGTTAAGCTATATAAATGTTAAGTTCAAATATTTTTTATTACTTAATAAACCTTATGAACGCACATATGTATTATTATTTAGAATCGTAAACTTTCGTTACTATTTTATGTGTTAGTAGCCAATTCTTTAAATTTGATTAGCAATTGTTTTATTTAAAATTTAAAATTATTCACTACCTTTTGGTGTGGTCTAATAAGAATTTTTTTTGTGTAAATTCTCTTTTTTCGACATAAGTCAACAAAAATTTAATACTTAGATAAATCCCGAAATACATCAAAATTATCAGACATTTAAAATTATTCACTACCTTTTGGTGTGGTCTAATAAGAATTTTTTTTGTGTAAATTCTCTTTTTTCGACATAAGTCAACAAAAATTTAATACTTAGATAAATCCCGAAATACATGGGGCCTTTTTGAGGGGTGTTAATAGATTTTATATTAAAATTGGTGCCAAATTGGCCTGTTACAGTTTTCAAATGCTATTTACTAAAAATATTGCCGTTGGTTTTAACTTATCGGGACTGCCTGTATAGCTTTAAAAATAATTAAGTATTTTTTATGATTCGAAACACACGTTTATTCTACAGAAACTTGTTTTATGGTCTCTGGTTGAGAACATAATTAAAACTATATATCATTTATTAAATATTTACCCCATATAAAAGATTACGGTGTGTACTTTCTTCTACAGATATAAATGACAACACTAAATTTTGTATAAATTAAATAAAGGAACTTAGTGCCACAGAAAATATATCCAGTTTACTGTAAGATGTTAACAAGATTAAATACTTATTTAGGAATATATGCGATGACTAATCTATTCTAATTCTAATTCTATACTCTCTAAGTCGTTACATTTAATATTGGTATGTCAATCAAAATTTAGTATTTTATCTATTAAGTCAACAGAATAGGATCTAAGATTTAGAAACTTTTGTTTTTTACTTTTTAAAATGATTTATAGTGAAAAACAAATAAGATGTGTATTAAAGATAGAATACCTTTGCTTAATGGCACTCTCACAACTTGCATGATAAAATATTTATTTATGAATTATTATCGATGAGCATATTAGAAAATAATGTTTCCTGCGTTGGCATCAATGTTTACAGAGATAATGACAAGTAGGACTCCAGATAAATAAATCGATTCATTTTATTGTACAAAAGGTATGTAAGATAGGCTTTTCTCAATACTCGGCTACAAATGTGCTGTTACTGGTTTCTACTGGTTCAATTTTTTTTAACACCCCTGTACAGTTTAGGCGTAAGTACAAATGTGAAATCGTCTTTACATACATCAATTATAGTTTGAGAAAGTTAATATATCTAATTTGTAATGGCCAATTGAGTGTGATAAAAACTACCCATCAATTTTTTTTAAATACTGTGTTAAAAAAATTCTTCAACTACTGCTTATCGGCGTTTTTTACCCAATTAGTTAAAGTATTGTGGTTAATGTCTATAATTGTTATTCAATTTGTATAATTTTTATAGGAATAGTGTTATTCCTAGAACTGACTACAATTCCAATGCATAGCAAAATACAAATAGGTTGGAAAACCCTGAGAACAAATGTGTGTATATTACATTACGGATGTTTATTTTATTTATTTTCCAAATAAGCGCGGTAGAATTAATGGTGGAACGTTGCTTATTTCTAAAAGTAGACAATTTTACATCTACTTACCGAAATGTGTGAATTGGTCACAGTTCGTGCGAGTTATTTAAAAAAATTCAACAAAAAAAAAAAACATTACCATACATATTTTTTGATAACTTTCGCTACGATTTGTACTACATCACCTGGCAATTTAGATAAAAAATCGATAATTGAGTAATCGAAATAATGCATATTCGTATTTTTAATATTAATATTCACTGTTAACTTCTTACCATTACTTCTAGCCATTTTATTACAATCTATAAAGAAATCGTTACATACATGAATGATGTCAAACTAAACACTGAAAGTGTATATATGTTTAAAAATAGAAATGATAAATAATTTAAATTAATAATTCTCATTGCGTTGTATGGTGATAAGGCTCAGTGATAATGAGATTGTACATTGTAAATACGATTATTTTTTTTTTTGTTTTTAACAAATAAGATTAAATATATACACTCTGGGGGTATAATCCCTCTGAGCAAACCTCTCGGATTTTATTTAACTATTTATTAGTTACATTGCCTTTACAGTTACAACAAAACTAATAAATGATTTAGTAACATTGTGAAAAGTCTGTAGTATTTCATGCGTATGATTCAACAAAGAAATATTTCTGAGTATTCTGCGTTTTAAAAGCACACTAAGTTGGGCCAAGTAAACATTACCTGAATTTAAAAAAATACTACTCGGGCTTTTGTACAATGTTGTGTTTACATTTCACTTAGAAAACAAGTGTTCCGATCGAATGTAAATTTAAAAAGTGGCTTCGACTTATAAGTGGACGATTATAAATTAAAATTTTGAACATAAATCACGTAGGCGGGTTGATGTAATTTTGGGATTCTTAATAAGGTTATTATTTAGAACAGGATTAGCCATAAAATGAAAGTTTACATGTTGTATTATTTGTTATGCATAGCTAGATGATTTGAGAAACTATTGGAATTTGGAGAGTAGACCTTATTTAGCATAACAATTTTTAAATGCCAAAGCAGCGTATTCTATATTTAGAAAAAGGAAGTGTGTCTGATCATCTTGAAAATATGAATAAACAATAATTAAATCGAAAAATACCACAAAATTCTTAAGAATTGTGTAACAGTTATGATTATTTAACAACAACAATAGTACCTACACTTTAAAACAGGTACGTTTTATTGATTACGCTTCTATTAGTGCTATTAATTGATCAGAAAAGTCAAATTTGAATAAAGTTTAAAGTTTTTCTTACCAAAAACGACCTGTCCCAGTGCCTGTTGGGTATGTAATAAATCCAAATATTGCTGACAACAGGTATTTAAAACATTATGTCCAAATAGGAACTTCACAAATACAAAACACACTTGCCACAACAGTAAACATTTCAATGAAGCACAAATAAGTCACTACCAATTAAAATTATGTAAATAATACACAAAACATCCTTTACTCCATTATCACGAATATTTCGGGAACTACAAACCTACAAGTATGTTTAGAGCCAGATACAAGAAATGAATATGAGTCATCACCACCAGTACCACAAACCATTCAGCTCATGCCTGCATTGCGATCTCTCTCTTTCGTTATTGGTTCTTTCTTTTGAGTTGTCTAACCTGCGCATGTCCCGTCACATTCGAATAGTGATGACTAATACGCTGGATATCACACTGTCACCATTATGCTCAAGTCTGCTAGCGGCAAATGAATCACTACCGCTACTCCTGAAGCACCAGTTATTTTTCCGAGACTCTCTTGCCAAATTTGTCAATAACATTTTTGTCGCAGCTTTGGCAATTATTCGTCCACACAAGGTTTTTCCGTGCGTGCGTCTCGCTTCTATTTCTCGCTGTTAGGTATTCTATCAACGCATAAAGGCTAAACTAGAAATCTACAAGGTGGCTCAATAAATCGCCAACAAGTACAATCCCCGCAAGTAGTTTTTTTTTCATTGATTTGTTATATTATATTTATTTTTATTTTATAATGCAACTACAAGGCCCAGTAAAGATGGTAAGTGAATATTTCATCAAGACGATTTTAAATGAATCTGTTGATTTATCTTTAATAAATATAACGTTTTAACGTCACTAAAGCTATGATCATGATCTAATTATTTATCATCTTGCTATTTATGTATCACTATCAAGTTCCTCTTAAAATATAGGATGATAACATACTTTTGAAATGAATTAATAATCAACAGCATTTCAAAAACAAACTCTAAAATCTTTGGGAGCCTAAGATGTTTTAATTTTCGAATTTTGTGATAAAGATGCAAATTTAAAGATATTTTATGATTAATGTCTATCGGTTTAGCTAGTCAGAAAAATAATAAGAAGGGAAATATTTTACACAGGTACAATATATTCAAGTAAGTATTTGCATAGTAATGATGTTTTTCCTGAACATACGAGTTATAGGTACATATATTCAGTGGCGGCTCGTGGCATTAAGAATAGGTAAAAGTATATTCATTGATTGACTAAAAAGAAAAAAAAAACGACGCTAGCGCTGGCGAAAATTTTCAAATTTTCAAGGTCAAACGGCTTTAAATGAATCTGGAAATTTTTACTTGCATTTGCAAAATTACCGAAAAACTATCGTTCGTGAGAAGGATTCATTTCTAGTTATTATACAAAACAAAAATTAACTAAAGTTTAGTTGGCCGCCTCGTTGCCATGACAACCGCCGTAAACAACGCTATGAAGAGAAGCAGAATACAGACTGATTTCAATCTGCGTCACCTGCGTATACTATACGTTGTATGGTATGTTCGCGCTCAACGAAGGCAATGTTTTTTTAGAAGGGGTTCATCGCGCAACTATTTATTTCTGCGTATTAATCAAACAAGCACAAAACATTTTCATTATAGAATTATATCTAAATTATAAAATTTATATAAAATTAAAAATAATTTTAAATTGCACAACCAAACGGAAATTTTAGGTGAAGCGGTGCGTCACTTGCGTCACCTGACGAGCCGCCACTGCATATATTGGTATAAAAGTTTAGGCGCATTTGAAATTCCAAAATTTTGTTACTGAAGTTTAAAAAGCACACTTATTAGTATGTCTCTTCACTGACGACTATACAACCAGTTAGACAGTCAAAATATCGCGATTTTATGGTAAAAGGAGCGTTAATTATTGTGGATGTCCTTTTCGATTGCTGCTTTGTGCGTGCAACAGAAGCCTTTTCAGCTTTTAAGACTTCATCGTTAGTTTCGCTCTGGGGCAAGAGATGGCGCCGAATAATGATTTTTTATTGTAACCCAAGGACTCGATATATTTTGTAATCAAAGTAATTAATTTTTATAATGGCCTGTTTATGATATCAGATTAGTGGGTTGTGACTAAAAATTGGACTTTATTTGAGTCGATATCGACGTCATAGTAATAACAAAGCTGCATAAATGGTTTGAATTTAATTATTACAAAAGTAATTTGAAACATGTTTGCCCAAAACCACGTAATGTTAAAGTAAATGTTGAAATTATTTGTCAACACTTAATATAGGTTTACTAGATAATTAAAAGGATTAATAAATATTTAGTCTTGTTTAGGAATTTGCAAATAATGAATCACAGATCCATAAAGCTTGTGCTGGTTAAGTCCGAATAAGTTCGTATCGAGTAAACAAAACATACGTTACACAAAGACCAGCAATTTAATTGAAATAAACAAAAACGACACTCCCTTATGTGGTAGCATGGAAACCAATTAATTTACATCCAATTTGTTACAGATTGCTTCGACATGGTGATGCGTTACATTACATTCAAATCATTACAAGGCTAATACAAGGCATTTGGTAGTTAAATTTTATAGTTTGATTACTGTTCATATATCTCACTTAACAGTAGCCTTGTGTTTCCCACATTTCCTTGTATGTAAAATTATTTACTGGAGTTTCGATTATTCTAATAAAATTCCTTTGAAGGGCCATATGACGTTCTCCTTCAATTTGTGGGGAGGAGAGGGTTTTGAGGAAGAAATTAATGTAATAAGTTACAAAGTTTTATTAAATATGAAAGAAACATTTAAAAAATCCAAAGAACATGGGCAATATGGAACGAGAGAACGAATAATATATATATAATATGTAATAACAAATCTATTTAATTATTTCCTACAAGTGCCTAGTAACTAAATACAGTCCACTGAAATAAAATATAAAAAATATATTAAGACTTTTGAATAATTTAAATTCACTGTATTAGGGCAGTTTGCAGGGTTTCGACCCAAAAGCCAATTATTATACCAAAATTATTTATCTACAATGTTATAATACAAATATACATAGTACGATTTTTATTTATCACATTTTTTAATATTAAATAGTAGTTAGCCGTGGATATTACTTAAAAATGGTCATATCTTAAATTACCTCTAAATCTAATATTGCAAAAATAAAATTTTTGGTATTGGAAGGGAAGTAGTAGGATCACAAATGAAACTGTTTGTGTTTTCCACCACGTTAACCATACAATAATTTATATAAATAAAGTAACGTAACATAAATTCCTGAAAAAAATATAAACTCAACTAAAGCGATGAGATGTGAATATGAAAAAATTCGACAACTACTTGTTACCTGTTAATACTGTTGCAGAAAGTAATTCCCAGTGTCGCGGCGGCTAAAGATATTTTGACTTTTATATGGCGATAAACTCGGCAGTAGAATTTTTTGAGACCGACTAAAATAAGCAGTAAAATGTGTTTGTACATAGTTGACATAACAGGCACAAATCTAATAATAAATAGCACTTGTGGATGGTAAATATAATAAAATAATCAACGCTTTGATGGTGGCACTAAATGTGATGGTAGTTCTGATGGTAAGTCGTTACCATCGATTTTAATATTGATCAAATGCATGGCTAGGGCGAATTCATCCTCGTCTAACATACCATCTTTATCGACATCTGCCAGTTTCCATACTTTACTCAGAACTGAGTTCGGAAGTTTGGACTTCACCATCTCCGACTTGGCAGCTGTAAATAAAAAAATTACATTTAAATACTCTATTTAGCTATTATACGCTCACACGTTCGCACTATGAGGATATGCAAATTTGATGAGCCTTAAGCAGGACATGATAAGATACAGTTGAATTAGAAAATGCAGCGAGAAAAGACATTCCTAAGCTGTAGGTAAACTAACTTATTAGCAGTTACTTGAAAACTTTTAAAATGACTGATATACTTAAAAGACTTAAAAAAATGATGGTTTATTTTCCTTGACTTGGAAGGTAATATGTATATGCATAATGTTTCTAGATACATTTCAGTCCTATCACAAAAACCAATTACTGTTCATCTGAACTCTGAACTTGTGCGACAAACAAATTATGAATAAATAAATCAAAAGAACTGAAACTATCTCTGAGAATGAACTGATATCTGCATACTGCGTTATTTAAATTGCTAAACCATGTCAATCTATTAAATATGGTGTTGAAATTCCAACTAGTTCAAGTCCCACCGAAAGTTGACAAAAAAAGCAGTAAGAAATCAAGTTTTTACCAAATCACGAGTGGGTAATTATTGCGTAATTTGGAGAGATGTGCTCTCTCGAATATATCATTCAAGCAAGGGATTTTAAATGTAAATACAGATAATTCTGAAATTCTTAATACAAATACAAAAAAGTAACAAATCCGTTTCACTTTAATTTCTATTACCAATTCAGGTCTAAAAATAATCACAGATTTGATGCAATAAATTTACACTTCATAGAATGTGTTTCTGAGTAGATGGATGAACAAATCAAACATTTTTAACTTTGTACTTTCTACTAATCATGAATTTATTAAAATCTTTATCTCACACACAGAGGTTCCCAATATTGTTTATCTGACACTATATTAATTACAAATAACAAGTTACTTATTTTTTTCATATAAGACTAAAATGTATTTTTAATATAGAGATCAATTTAAACAAAAACTTCATCGGTAACCTTTAAATTGACATAAACAGTGAAAACTTAATTTGTTCTGCAATAAATACATCAACTGTGTAAATTTAATTAGTCATATGCTCCACAGTTATTTAAAAATTTATTGAGTCAACTTTTAGGTGTATTTGAACCATAAAATTAAAATACTTTAAATATTTACATGATTTTTCACATTTTTATAAAGCAGATTTACTAGGACAAAACAAAGCGGTTTTTGCCAAAGGAGAAATATTTTTTGTATGTAAACTTAACACTTAATAAACAATATAAAAATGTGCATTAGTGTTTTTTCCCATGTAAAACTTATAAGGGCAGTATAATTGTTTCGTAAATGGTATGACGAAAAAGTTACTTAGTAAGTATTATACAAACACTGGAGAAATTGATATGCTATCACTTCAATTAAATTCTGATAAATTGTTTAAGTAAATACTAAACATACCTTTGAAAGTGGAACTACAATTTTATGGATCCTGCATTCTGATCAATAATAAATTGATAAGAAAAATTTTATAGTGTAACACTTTCTACTAGGTCACTTCTGGTTAAATTTTTTATAGTAACTGTAATTATTACTTTCTTTTATGATGTAAGATATGTTTATGATAACTAGGTCAAATCCAAATCAGAAATTAACTCTTCTCCAGTTACTTGATAAATGTTAAAAAAATTAATAGCTAATAAGTGTTTTTTACAATAACTCGAAGACAAAATTCGTTTTTCCATAAATTTTTTGATGTTATAAACATCGATAATGTAAACTAATTTAAGTATGTAAGTGCTTTTTATGACTTCCCCGAAATGCTACATAAAAAAGTGTAATATACTGAAAATTTTCAACATATGATACCGACTTAAAAAAGAAAATTGTTTTGAATTTACATTACAGTGGGAATACAAAAAATCAGAATGCCACAAAATATTAACGAATAAAATAATTTAGAATTTAAAGATACATCTAAAAATATTACCCTTTGGAATTTATTATATTACCTACTCATGTTACTGCCATTTGCTTGTGTCTCTGTTATCAGGCCTGGGGCAAAAAACTTTGATAAATATTTTATATAGAGGATATTTCGTAAAAAATACATTTTTATTAATATCTCGCTTGAAGTTACATAACAGGTATTTCCAATAAATTGGCACATAGATAAAATTTGTATCAATTAATTTAGACAAACAGCGTTATCAGTGTCAGGTCAGCCTTTTACCTGTAATAATGACGATAGGCTTCAAAAATGTGAATTTATCAGAAAGTTATAAATTTACAGCAATTAAAACTGAATTATAGAAACATTATGCAACAAATTAATTTAAAAAGAAATTTTTACAATAGTTTATTTTATGTAAACCACTTAATTAGTGTTAAATTTTTTCCAGTTAGTATTAAACCTCGAAGTACTAGAGCATATAATAGTTGACCTAAATTTTTACTGATCATAAAATCTTGTGGTATTTAATAACTGTTAGTCATTTTATTTTCATTATACACCATAGAACAGATAATCTTACCCATTCCAGTGACTTTGCCATCGGTAGGATTTAGACTTTTGAAGATGTCATCATACTTTGGTTTTTCTCTACTAACTATCCAATCTAGTTCCCCTGCGCCTGCATCGATACCTTCACCCCTCTTGTAACCGAACGGTGAAACAGTGTCTTCGACGTTAGTAAATGCACCTCCCTGTACGTCTCCGTTATTCGTGGCCCTGTCTTCCATTGGAATTTTAGCCATTAAAATAGAAATATCATCAGCTAACATTCGATCGACAATATCTAACAATTTTGGCTTCAGAGGATTAAATTTGCTGAAGTCCAGATTAGCCAAAACCTCTTGCATTTTCTTAATCTCAGGAAAATCCCCGGGAGAAATCTGATGTTCCCTTTGAAGCTTGTCATAAATATGTCCAAGATTCTTAATCAATTCCTTCTTTTTGGAATCTTTTCCAAATACAGATGGCATCTCTTTCCTTAATTCAGCTATTATGTAAGCATGTACTTTTGCTAACCTCGCTCTTTTTATTAAATCATTAAGCTTTCTCAGTGCGGCATTTCTAGGCAAAGACTGTAAGTCTTTGAATAAGTCTTGTTCCTCGTCTTCAAAAAGTCTTCGGTTAACATCGTAGCGCAAAGGTTGGTCCCAGAAGGAACCAATGTACACTCGAGCAACTTCTGGAGTTTGCAACACTTTACCTAGCGACCACATAAGAGCCCCGTAAACTCTCATAAGTTGTTGGTGGTCTATCATATCGGCTTTATTAAGAACAATGCGAATCTTATCATCGTGCCCTCGTAAAGCTTCGATTGACCTTCGGAATTCATCCGAAATATCCAGTTTATGGGCATCGAACAACAAAATTATTCTATCAACCCTCTCGGCGAACCATTCTAAAACCCCAGTAAAGTCATAACCTCTATCAACCCTTTGTTTTTCACCGGATAAAATACCAGGGGTGTCTATAATCGAAATATTCTGTAATACTGGAGAGTTCACTAAGGAACATTGCAGACGATTTAAAAAAGCGTTACCAAATTTTGACAGAGGTCTAAATTGCCTTTTTGGATCTACAACAAGAGCATTACCAGGTATCATACCTTCTTTCTCATCATACATCACTGCGATGAATCTATCTGTCGTAGGCTCTGGTCCAATTCGAATACCCGGAAACTCCCTTTCCAGCAAATATTTTATGAAAGTTGTCTTGCCAGTGGAGTATTGCCCAACCAGTAATATCATGGGATTTGCGTCAAAATCGGAGTCTTCCAGCTTGGGGGAATGAAAGTCATGGAATTGATAATGTTCCTCCAGAGGTAGGAGTTTGTGTTTGTAAATCTGCTTGAGGCCCTCGACCACATTTTGATATATTTCTTGTTTGTTATTGTCCTTGGATAGCCAGCTAAACATTTTCGCACTTTTTTTCGTCACTATCCACCTTATAAACAACCCTGAAAATATACTTCCACTTCCACGGACGCACTGACAAAAGTGACATATCTTTGACGGAATGATAGGAAAATTGGTAATGGCTACTCCCACCAACAATCGTGGCACATTTATCTGAGAGATAATACAGGAACCTGCATTCTCGTCAATTCATTTATAACTGATTAATTATTTAAGCTAATTAATAAATAATTCAGTGTCTTAATAAAGTGGATATTTACATTATTTAAACTTAAAAATAATATTCTGAAAATATTATTAACCTTGGGAATATCTGTAAGTTATGCAACTTAATTTACAGCAAGTAGTATTGCCAGTCACACACTTATCAAAGTGTAAACACGGCGTTGCCTAATAAAATAAATATTAACAATAAAACATTTAGACTATGTAAAGTTCAGTCAATTAATTTATCTGTATCATTTACTTTTATTGGTTGTTCTTACGTAAACATCATTCACGTGAGGGTCACATGAAAGTTTAAAGATATAAAAAGAAGGTAGGTTTCAACAATGATTCATATGCTATTTAAAATTTGTAATACAGTCCAGAAAAATTTGGATCCTTCAAGTGTTAATAGACAAATTTTCTTGTTTATGTCAAATTAAGGTCAGATTTTATATTCAATTTTTGTAACACTATTAAAATTTGAATTAATTTTTTAAATTTATACTATAAATAAACTTTGATAGAAATGATGATCGACATATAGTAAAAAAAAAACGAAAAAAAATAATCAGAAATATGATTCTAATTATGAGGAGTACTAATAATATTGTTATATTGCTGGCCATTGGCCAAATATTTGAAATGAGTTTGAGGTATTCCAATATTGTTTTTATCCGAGTTTCTGTTACACGGTCCCTCAAATCTGAGTTGGGAGGAATTACTGACGTGGCAGGAAATGAATAAACAGAGTAAAAATAAAATGCGTTTAATTAACAAAAATATTTTCAAGACAAATAAAACAAAAGTTCTATCTAATAATAAAATAATTTTATCTACAGAATTTCTCTCTGGTTATCTATAATTCATATCTAACACCTATTGTCGATTTATTTATCACAACACAGAGGAGGTATGAAAAATCAGGTCTACTCAACAAAAATAAAGTTAGAGGACAGGTAGCTACTTTATTGGTCTCCAGTTTCGGGATCGTGATCCGAAATGAGATATAAAAACTGGAAAGCGATCGCTAGTAACGATATTCCAAGAAGATCTCCTATAGACGTCAAGTAAGGTATGGCTGAATTGTCGGGGTCTATCTTCCTTTTCCACATCCAATGGATCATGATGTAAGCCACGTAGAGTAACGTGGCTACTTGCATCAACGCCGCGCATAGGTACACCACGACGAACCACGGGCTTAGAGACGAGTCCCCATCCTTCATATAATCAATGGTGTAGATGAAAATAATATGTCCAGGCACCACCATTGACATTAGGACCCTCGTGGTACGCGCGTGCATTCCTTTGCCGCAGAACCCGGTAACTGGCGATATAAATATAACCGTGTCTTCATCGGCGTTATTCTCAGACGTCAAAATTCCTAGTTCCGCTTGCTTGTGCAGGGCGGTGGATATTCGGCTGGCTTGAACTGCTACTAGATTTCCTCCAACGCCATTGATAACCGGTTGAAACACTGCTATACCCTGAAACCTCGACACCATGAAATCTAAAATTAGGCCACCCATCGAGCTAATCAACATGGCACCCATAACTGGGGTCCAACCGTGGTACAATACGTCTCGAGTCTGTAGGTTCCTTTTAGCTATCCACACCCACATTGGTATGGCTAGAAGGTAACCTGCGATTATCAGCGGTGCTAACCAGTCTTGGCTACCTGTAATAGAAAAAAACCTTAATGGGCTGTAGTTTCAGAAAATCAGCAGATACATACCTATAGAATCGTATAGCATTGTGGAAACCCATGATAATAACGTGAGCGACGTGATATCTCCTAGGCTAGCCGCTATGGGGGTTGCTACATTGTCAGGATTTATGTGGCAATGTCTAGATAGTACTATAACACCAGCAGTGATCAATCCAAGTACCAGACTCGCTATTGAAACTGTGACTAAGCTACTGGCACATAATAGGTAAGCGTGGTCTAATTCAACGTCATTGCTTTTTATCCCACCCATAACAACCGCTACGACTGCTCCCAAGAAACCGACAACAATTGCTTGACACTGAAAAAAGATCATCAAATATCACGTTGACCGAACGAGAGAAACAAATGAAATACAAACCTGAATAAGAGTTAAATTGCCCACTATAATACTAATTTTTTGTTTGGGCGTGTCCATATGTCCTAAATTTGCTTGAGTGGATAACCTTGACGCTAGCGTCATTTCTAAGTTGCCTTTCAAGCCTAAAAGGGCTGGAATTAAAATTACTAATTCTGTTATTTCCGCGAATACTGGCCAGTGCTAAAACAAAAACAAATCGTTAACGAATATCTGTGTCTTATTTCCTTTTATTTAAATAACACATTCTAACAGCTTTGAGTTTCTGCAGTTGGTTTTTTACACTGTTCAATAAGTCACATTCCAGCAACAAAATACAACGAATTTACCGTTATTATGTCATTTATAAATTGACTGAATAATAGGGGGCCGAAGATAGAACCTTGAGGCGCTCCTGAAGTAGCTTGTATATCTGTACAGATTTACTACGACTTCATATACCTCATTTTGAAATATTTTGCAAAGATTTCATTAATAAGATGTTAGAAGTCTGTGTAAATACCTACGAATTAGTATTGGAAACACTAAATTTAGTTCTACAAAATAGGCTGGTTACTGTTGATCGATGTAGTAAAAATTCGCGATGATATATCTTGTATGGAAAAATAGCTCATACACCGTAAGTAAGTGGCGTTAAACGTCGTATTTCGTATATAAATTCAGCCTTGGCATTTTTTCTGCTTCCTCCTCATAATTTATTTAAATGGGGCATAAACTGACCAGTCTAATTTCGAAAGACAAGACGAGGTAATGAAGGTAATATCTACTAATTAACTTATGTCTTCGTTCTGAGCACAAAATCGTTTCAGAAAATTTCATTGTTACAAGCAGCCTGCCGTGTTCCTAAAGCAGTGTGCACAATACGAAGCGGTGGTAAAGCAACGGTCACACGTTCTAGTCATAATACGAACAATTGAATTCACTGATTCGAATTGAAACCATGAATGTGTCATTTACCTGTATTTTGTCTAGAACCAGTCCCGCGAAGACCATGCCAAACCCGGCGATTAAGAAAGGAATGAATACTTGTATCGCTATAGAAAAATATGTTTCCTGTATTTGTTCATCTTCGTCACACACTTTTGCCTCGACCACGACGTCTGGGAGCCGCCCGTTGTCATTGTCACTGCTGTCCTGTGAGTTAACTAAAGTTATTTCCATATCTATCGCGGGGCTTATCCCAAAGGCACTTGAAGGGCTGGAGGTCTCCGACGCACTTTTTGGAATGTGCTGAACATGATTGGTACTGCCCATGGCCTCTGATCCATAGCTTTCTTCTCTGGAAAACAACAACCGTTGTCACGAAAAAAAGATTGACCTGACGTTTTGGAAAATCTCATGTTTTTGAATGATATGCCAGTGTTGAATCAACACTGTCGATGTACAAGGAAGAGGAAATCACAATGAGGCAAAAAGCTATCGGAGTTCCTTGTCAAATAGTTTCTTGCTAAAAAGTCTTTCGTTCTCATATATGGAAACCTATATAGTTATTTTCATGACAATCACTTGTTGCAAAATATAAACATGTTTAAAAAAAGTGTTTTCATATTTTAAATACACTTCACTTGTAATGAAGTGATTAATTTGATGCATTTATCACACACCTAACCAGGGAATATGACGCGTTCTGCATTTTGAACCACTTATCTTCATCATCACATTTTTTTTTTGTCTCGGTTAGTTTCAAATGGTTTGATTATTAGTCCACGCGCTAATTGTAGCAGGAAATCATCTGATTTTCCTATCTATATTTCATTCAAGATAAAATTCTCTTAGACAGTCATGATTACGTTTTAATAATCGCATAGGATAAAAAAGAGAGAATCCTAAAAATTTAAGTAAAAATTATTATCTGCTGACGTGATTTTACAATTTTTATAAGAAATATGTCGCATGTAATTTCTAAAATGTGTGTATCTGTTTAGGTTGTTACAAATTTTTCAAGTAATACAGGGAATTACTTTAAAAGCGTACCTTAGAATTCGACATGAGTAAACAAACCAATAAAAATGATATCCAGTAATTTCCACATCTGTGCTGTTAAACTTAATTCTACTTAGTTAGATTAAAAACTAACTACTTTTTCATGGAATAGTAACCAAGTAAACAGGGCTATGAGGGACATAGGATATGCCAGTATTGAATATCTTGGTTTTATTAATCATGTAATAGAATAATACAGTAATTATATTTTTATATATGTATGTACTATATTTTTAGAAAACATCACAAAATTATCTACAGCATTTAACCTTTTCGATATTCGGGTTGTGTGGATTAATTTTTAAATAAAATTTAGAATTATTTATTATTTGAGTTGTCAAAGAGACGTTTTTATGTTGATATTATTATCCTTCACAATATTACCCGTTTGTTTCGTTAGGGCGTTATTATGTGAATTAAAATTGTTTCATGAAGATATATGTTAGGGCCCAGATTGGTTAAACTGCGAGAAATGTACTTGTCTTGTAATACACTTATATCACGTTGGTTTTAGTGGGTGTATTTTTATTAGCGACCGCAAATATCGGCATGAGTAAAATGATTCGAAATATACAACGAATAGATAACACTAAGATAACTTTTACATTTTAAATTAATAATTTTTGTATACGCAGAAAAATAATGCAGAATATTATTATTAAATTACTTTTCATACTTACTATTAGGTTATTTTCAGTAGGTAATAGCTTATATAATGGAAAGACGGTTTAATTTGATCTAATTAGTAATGATTCAAAAATAAGACAGCTTATGACGCTCATAATAATACACTTGTTGCTTCTAGATCTATTATGGTATTATATTTCCACATTTTAAGGAACATAGAATATTCTATTTTGTGCAGTTGTATTTTCATTACATATTTATTAAAAAAATACATTTATTTTGTTTAACATGTAGCAAGTTTTAAAAGACATATATACGACTTTGTAAGGGTTGCGCGAAATCAATACAACCACGTGGTAGGGGGAAAAACTTATGATGGTAAAACAATGATTGATTATTAAATGAGAGGTCCTAATGCGAAAATTATATGGCAATGTTGGGAAAGCGGTGAAATAGCCAAAATTCGACGTACCTTCGTTGATAAGTGAAGTGTGCGTCTGTTATATTTCGATGTAACTCTACAGGAGTTAGGCCGAGAAGCCTTTTCAGTATTGAATCGACTACATTCTGTGTTAGACTGACTATATTGATTGCGGTTGGTATTTTCTGGACTTCTAGCTCATCCCACAGGTTGTTACCAGGGGAGACACGTCTGCGTAAAGGAGGATTGCCATTTTCTATAATAACGGGTGGACGAAAATAACTAAATGTCATCTTTCGCTTTTCAGAATGAATTGCGTAGGATGATGCAATTTCCTATGGCGTTTTATTGGATTTGCGTCATAAACTAAATCGAAATTTGAAATGACTTTTTTTTGTTTTAGAATTAAGAGGCGTGCGAACTTCAATTTGAAATTCCGACATTTGTACATAAGTTTTGGATTGGGTGAGTCAAGTTTTCATTATTCTATTTTTAAGAGCAGGTCTAGATACTATTAATTCTGTAATAATTGAAATCGTAGGCAATATTTTACTGATTTGAATTGAATTTGAATTTTATTGATCCGCTCCGTATAACAAACTTTGTTCCACGAATTTCAGCATCATATTTCACAACATTTCAGGGTAATATATTCTGCGTCTAGCAAGTTTGTCTTCAGTTTTTTGTCAGATCACACACCATATTAGGCAAGGTTATAATAAAAATTCGACTGTAGTGGTAACGTATTTGAAACTTATTCAACTGAAAAATGCTAATAGTTCCCCTAGAGATTATCCATAATCAACTGATTCATAAAATTTGAATCGGTAATCATATACGATTTGTAGTATTAGGTATAGTCTTTAATTAAATACATACAACAATTTTTTTAAAAAATCATTTGATCGCGGAATTCAAAAAATCATGATGGTTTTTGTAAAAAATTCATTGACGAGAAAATCTCAAATATCCAAAACTTAGGTAGATCGAACAAGACCGCTTCCAATAAAACTCGCCCAGTTCTGGCTAGCTTCCATGGGATTCTAAGTTTCGCCTTTTGAATTTTAAAAGGTTTACTATATCCGTTGATGTTCCTGCACTGGCCAATGACCCCAATGCACAAAGTAAACTAGAGTAATAAATTGCACTGTTATGAAGATAATTTCCTTTCGTCTATATCTGACCTACTGAAACGGAACGCATATTCCTTTTTGACCACTACTTGAAATGATAATGGAGGCCTAGATTCAGAGCTGTAACAAGTCCCCATTGCAACATGAACATATCAAGAGGTATTAGTTTATTCGCTTTTTTAAGCGTACATTTTGCCATTTGATTTATTCAACCTATATTATTTGATTTGATTTTCTTGATATGGTAATTTGGTGAAATATTTCTTACTAGTGAAACTAGAACGTAAATTTGTAAAAGTGGATAACTAAACTGGGATCAGATGCTGCAAGTTACTGTTATTAAAATATAAATGCTGAGACCAATCGCAAACATTTCTCACACATTTACATCAAAGATTTACGTGCATATTTAAAGGGGCAGATATTAAAATTAAATTATTTAAGGTTTAAGGTACTGTATTGTTACAAGTAGATTTTTAATAATAAAGTAATCACGGCCAACTGCGTTTCTCGAAGCACAGCATTATTCAATTTTAATTTAACAGCATATACCATTTCTTGAGACGCCTATGCTATATGGGTCACTTATATCACTTAGAAAATTACACCGTAAGTGCATATTACTTAGTAAGGACTACATTACATTCATGTTGTCTAGGACAATGATAAATTTAGAACAAATTTTTTCGCGCTACTTTTAGAATACGTTTCCTTCTTCCTTCATCCTTAATTGATTACATAATCTTTACGACATATTTTCTATACATAACCTACATTAATTTTCATTTATATTAAACGAATTAAATTGTAAAACGGCAAATATCAAAACCATTTGGGGCACTAAAGCATTACAGATAGAATTGTCTTAATTAAACTAAATGTTAAAGAAACGTAAACAACAACCTTGTTTTTTTTTTAAATATTACAGGTACGTGGGAAACTGCAGTTTTTTTTAATGTAAGTATTTATTTGTCGTATGAACGAAGAACGCAATTAGTTCTAGCTTAGTTACAGAGCTAGCCATAATTATGGCAATAGACAGACTTGTCTGTGTATTAGCAATTATAAAAAATTATCTAATATCAGTATCTCTTATAATATAAGTGAAGGACACTATCTATTTAATGAATATTTAACCAGTCTTTCACCAAAATTTTGCCACATACTTAATACCGATGTAATGGTTTTAAGGAAAGTATTATTAAAACGTTAGATTGCAAATATTTGCTGATGAAATGACAATAATATAAAGATAGGTACATTTGCAACTATTTGATGTTCAAATTCGCGGTAAAAAGTTTAGGACCATTAATTTACATTAGATCTTTTTAAGAAGTCTGTTTGTTAGATCATATCATTGAAAATAATAGCAGATTTCCTGCCTATATATTTTATTTCTAAAGATTTGTCACACTGTTGGTCAATGTCGATTATTATTATTACCGCATAGATTTAAAGGGAAAAAAATTTATGTCCGCAATACTTTTGCTTTTAGAACGAATTTAGTTTAGATTAAGCGATGTCCAGGGGAGGAAGAAGTGCGTAGTATTGAAAATCACTTACCTTGTGGTCATCTGCACACTTTTTTGATCCTGGTTCTAAGACTGAATATAAAATCATTTTCAAACATACTTCTCGTGCCTATACATTTAATATCTGCACACTACACTGACGCTCAGATGAATCAACTTGGTATTTTTTTTGGTTAAGAATAAGTAAGGAGTAGCAAGCAAGATCAGGATTGTGTCAAAAGAGGTATATTGCACCTTTCAATGATATGTCTTACTCCAAACTGCCTTATGCGCAATTGTTCGGCAATAGCCACAAGTTATTATGGTCATTATACTATTACGCCCTCGTACTGTCGTTTAAATGCGTGAAAATGGCCCCTGAATTTGCTATGAGCAAAAGCCTTGGATTGCCATATCTCATTGGTGTCCAAATTCACTGATCTTCCCGCATGTTTCCTTCCGTAAATTTTACCACAACGTGATTACAATTGTTAATGGCTTATTAACTGAAATTTTCATCGCTTAGATCTTGCATCTCGTTTAAAACACAAAAGGTTAGTTCCGCCACTTAACATAATCACCCTGGCACGTTTTGTTAATCTTCCTTTACGTAGAAGACACTTAATCTTGTAAAACGCCATGATCTCACCTTGCCTGGGAATTATACAGCACGTTTGAAAAGTCTTGATCCGGTCAAACTTCTGGTAAGACGGAAATATAAAACCAGTATTTGACATGAACGTATAATTGACTAAATGGCCCAAGGCAAAAAGGGGTCATTTTTTTTTATACGCTGCGGAAAAATTCAAGCAAAAATCAGTACAAGAAACGATAAAATATCCGAAATGGTCACTACAGTAAATGGTATAACAATTTTAAACACGGAAGGGTGTACAAAAAAGTGCTTTAACTCTTCATTTCTTGGTTCGATGTATTTACGCAACACTCAGTATATAAGCCTGTCCGTTTCAAAGTTTCAAATGATTTTATCAGTAGGATTCTCTTTACGTAAGTTTAGAACTCTGTAGTCAGATTTTAGATGGCAGCACATTCGTAGTAATTTCACGTTTGTATAGAAATTTGTAAAGGAGATAACATTGGAATGTTTCTACATAAAAATATGTATTTTTCGCCGATTGTTTGCCACTTTTTTTGTGATAAATAGTATCTGTTTAATTATTGTTAACTTAAGAAAATGTTTCAAATGGATAACTAACTAATAAGAATGGCAACACAAAAATAAATTATTGAAATTTAAAAATTTAAATAAACTGATGTAAAAATATGTTACTATTATTTTATCTGAGTAAATAATAAATGGGAAGTCTAAGCTGCAATCAGTGTTAATATACTGATAACAAATGTATTGTTGGTTAGGACATAAAAAATTCAATTTGTGATCATGTTTTAAATAAAAAATACATTACACAAAAATGTTTATTTAATAACTATTGTAGTTTTATACTATTTCATTGAAATCCTGCATATTGAAATATAGTATTTGACTTTTTGTTGTGGGAAAATGGCAATTTTTTAAAAGAAACAAACAGATCAAGTGAAAAGATATTTATTTATAAACAAATTTATATAGTAGTTTACAGGAATTGCAGAATATCACGTTTTAAACCCTTAAACATGTTTTTACAGGTATTTTTTACTCAATAATAAAACTACTGTGAAAAGCATTTTCATCATTTTGGATTAAAGCAAAGGTTTACAATAGAAAACTGTATACCTATAATAGCACCAATTTTTTCAGTTTTTTAAGTATCAACACGTTTTTTTAATTATAATAATTCACCTATAAAATTAAGTATATGGCCCCTTAATATGGCATAATCAAATAAAACGTTAATCCCCGACATCGCTATCTCTGTCTCCAATGAGATAAAGGAACTGAAACGCAATACCGAGAAGTAAAGTACCTAGTAAATCCCCCAGAGCAGTTAAGTATGGAATAGCCGAGTTATCAGGATCAACACCATGTTTCCACATACTCAGAGTCATAACTTGCGCAATATACAACAACAGAAATACTTGCAAGAGTGCCGCAGATAAATACACGACCATAAAAATAAATGTAAACGACGTATGCCCCGCTTGTAAGTAACTGATGGTGTACGAAAAAATTAAATGTCCCGGTATAACCATAAGCATCAACATTTGCGCGGTTCCCGCGTGGCTGGTCTCGCGTTTGTCGCAGAATGCCGAACAGGGACTTATGCAAATCTGCATGTGTTGCGGCAGGTGACCAGGCTCGCCGATACGGTGCAACTCTGTCGATATACGGCTGGCTTGCACCGCAACTAAATTCCCCCCGACACCGTTAATGACTAGCTGGAAAACTGCCACGCCTTTGAACGTCGACACGGTGAAGTCCAAAATTAACCCACCCACACTACTTATGATCATGGCAGTGATGACGGGATTCCACCCCGTGAAGAGCACTTTATGTGTATGTTCGTTCTGGCTCGCGATCCAAGCCCATACCGGCACCAGCGATAACCCCATAACTATCAAACTGGACGTTAAGTAAGGGTGACTGTCCATAGTGTAGTAAAAAGTCGATGCTAGCCACGATAAGCAAGCGAGAGTGGTAAGGTCTCCCAAGCTTGCGGCTATAGGTGTAGCAACATTATCAGGATTTATATTGAAGTAACGCGAAAACATTATAACGCCCACCATAACTAAACCGAGAATGAAACTTGCTCCAAATGCTGTCACGATGCTACTGGCGCAGAGCAAGAGGGCATGTTTAATGTTAATTTCTCCGGTGGGAACCCAGCCAAATATAACGGCTGCAATGGAAGCTAAAAACCCAACGACGATTGCTTGACATAATATTAAGGCGAGATTCCCTGTAATCAAACTGACTTTCTGCTTGGGACTGTCTAAATCGCCTAAATTAGCATGTGTGGAGAGCCTGGAGGCTAAAGTCATTTCCAGGTTCCCTTTTAAGCCTAGTAATGCAGGTACAAGTATATAAACTTCAGTCACATTTTGGTAAACTGGCCAATGTTGCACTTTATCTAATACTAAACTTGCTGCTACCATACCGAATCCCGCAAGCAGGAACGGTATGAACATTTGGATCGCCGTTGCCCATAGTGGTTCTACTGATACAATTATTGTCTCTGGTTTAGCAGACGTTTCACCTCTATTTAGTAAGACACATGTATCTGATGATAATTCACTGTCTTCATCCTGAAACCAAAACATAACCTTAAATTCGACGAATTGAGGAATAAACACACTTTCTTACGAATTCTTGCCCTCCTTCCACCATTCTTCTGTCTTTTAAGGACTTTTCATTGTACACTTGCCGCTGTCTTATATCTCCACTAATTTTTCCGTCCCCGTCCATTGTAATTTCTATTTAAAAAATACATTATTAACATTTTAACCACAAATTACCAAGGGAATAGGGTTGTAATGAAAACATCATAACGTAACCGAGGTGAAATACGTGCAAAATTCTGTATGTACTGTTAAAGTTGTTATAATCTCATTTACACGTACACATCGTTAAACAATCAAAGCAAATTAAATTTCATATTTGATTTGCCGTATTCTTCTGTCAACACACTCGATGGGAGATACAGGACGACAACCTAAAAATTCTAAATTCGCGTGTTGAAATGAATGTTGAAAACTGTTACAAATAAAAAACATTTAAATGTAAATATTATATTTTTTCTTGTCTATAAATAAGCAAATATTCACTTCCTTAAACAAAAAATTAGTATTTACTATGGTTTTCGTTACAACCTTTGACGGGGCATTTAAATTTGATCAAATATTTAAATATAAATTTTAACTGATTTTTATGAGCGATTGGTGTTTCAGAAGGGTAAAATACACATCATTTATAAAAATTACATCTTACAAAATAGGAATATAATTTAACAAGTGGAAGCTCTACAGGGGTTCAATCTAGTTATTTAAATACCTTCAATTGTCCCATGCAACAAATGCCTTTTTCCAATTCAACTTTCGACTATTAGTTACAAAAATAGAATGCAAGGAGTTGATCTAAATATACTATCAGCCGGTCTACTTCATAGAGAGATACATAGGTAGTAAATGTTTCTTAATATACTTACATTTTAAAGATGGACGACGTCCATGCGGGTAGAAAAGATTGTACATTGTTCCAGAAGCACTGCGAGAAAATCATAGGAAAACTAACAGAGGAGTGCATTGACAATTTCAAGGCAACCGCAGATGAAGAGGCTAGAATTAAATTCCTGTACGACCAAGCCGTTCAGATACCCATAACTATTTCGCCGAATAACGGCAAAGATATAGAAATAGCACAGCAGGAGAAAATTAAGGGTAACTCGTATTTTGCGAAGAAAGACTACACTAACGCTTTAAAGAGCTACAATAACGGTATAATAAAATGCCCTCAAAATACAGGTATGTATTGTGTAGTGATAAGCTTAATAATTAAAAAATTATGCGGTTTTGTGATAAGTTAAACGCACTATGTTAAACAAGTACAAAAAAAGAACAAAACATTTTCTTTTTACACAGATAGTAGCGGCTAATTAATTTAAAATACTCCATATGTCATTGTAACAAGTATACAACTTAGTGTACAGAGTGTTCTATTTTCAAGGGGTCTTGTTTTTTTTTAGCTCCGTCAAGAGAGCTACTTACAATATTAATATCAAACCGTAGCGCTACGTATTTTGAATTGAAAGAATATAAAAGAGTGTTCAACGACATTGACTATCTCACAGAAGTAGGAAATTACCCGTCACATTTGCAATACAAGATATGGCTCAGAAAAGCAAAATGTTACGACGCTTTGCAGAACGAAAGACTTTCATCTGAAGCATACAACGAAGCTGTGGAAAGTCTAAAGCACAGTAAACTAGACGAAAAAGCCGTAGAGAGCAAAATAAAGGAAATCGAAAGCTCTAGGGAGAACAAGACTATTGTCCCCGTTGCAAAGCACGAGTTGGTGCCTGCTTTGGGCTCTGAAATTTTCGTGGGAGGGAAAGATTTTATTGCTGCTCATCCTCATATCAAATTCGAGCAAGATTCGTACCAAGGAAGGTTCGCAACGGCCGTGGAAGATATAGACACTGGTACTGTTATAATTGAAGAAAATCCACACTGTGCTGTTGTTGACTCAGAACATGTCTTGACAAACTGCCAATATTGTTGTGGCAGTGTGGATCAACCTGTTGCTTGTCCGTCCTGCGGCAACGTTGTGTTTTGTTGCACGAACTGCGAAAGGCTGGCGAACAAAACATTTCACAAAGTGGAGTGTGCTATCCAAGGATCCCTTATCTCATCTGGTGCCTCAGTGAACTGCTCCTTAGCCTTAAGGATAATCAGTCAGAGACCGTTTGCTTACTTTAACGACAAAAGGAATAAGCTTAAGGACTTTTTAAGGGATAATTGCAAGAAAAACGTCATAAGGAAAAAGACGTATAGGTACGACGATTACGATAACGTGTTTTTCCTGTGCCGGAATGAAAGTTTAAGGAAAAAAGAGGAGTTGGTGCATTATACTTGCATGGCCACGTACTTGTTACGTTTATTGAAAGCCGGGAAATATTTTCCTTTTGAGAGTAAGGATGAGGTTTTGGTTGACTTAGAAGGTTTTATCGGAGGTTTAATTTTGAGACATTTGCAGCTGCTTCAGTTTAACGCTCATGAAATCTCCGAACTCAAAAACCCCCCTAAACCTATCATCACAGGGGGAGTCGAAACTAACTATGAAAGCACAACCACTGGAGCAGCATTATATCCGACATTAGCTTTGTTTAATCACTCATGTGATCCCAGCATTGTCAGGTAAGAAAATTTTTTTTGTGGCATTGGCCCGAGTTCAATGTATTGGTGCTATTTTTAGATACAACTTAAAAAACAAAATAGTTGTGCGAACGATAAAGCCTGTGAAAGCCGGAGATATAATTTATGAAAACTATGGCCCTCTTTATATGTCAATGCCAGTCGAGAAAAGACAAGAAACTTTGAAGAACAACTACTGGTTCGAGTGTTTATGTATCCCTTGCGTCGAGTTATGGCCCATGTTCCATGAAATGAACGAGTATGAGCTGAGGATACCCTGTCAGACAGACAGATGCCCGTTTGTGTTTATCGTGCATCACGACGACGAACCTTTTATGACTTGTGACTATTGTCATAATGTTACCACCATTTTTCCACACTTAAAGGGTCTAATGGCAAGTACTTTAATATCATTCTATTGTTCCTAGTTTTTTTAACAATAAAAAAGGTTTAATTATATATTTTTAGGCCTTGGATGATATATTACCTGTGGCGGAGGCCCTTTTTGGTTTGAATCAGTTTGAGAAAGCCATGCGTAAATTTATTAACGGCTTAGAAATTTTGTATAAATACACCAAACCACCCCATCCTGAAATTATAAAAATCCAGCAGCGTATTAGAGTATGTATGATCCACATGGGTAACAAGGCTTGTGATTATAAAGTGAATTTATAAATTTAATTTTGTACAAATTATTTAACAAATAAAGTTGCGATTGGTCTCAATTATATTTATATAATGTCCTAATTTCTCCATAGTCATTATCGTCCAAAGAAAATTAATTAAAATCGGTATCTTTTATCGCCGCATTTTAACAACCGAATACAAAAATATGTTCATTCATAAAACTAAAACAATTCCTTGAAATGTCATAAGAAGACATAAAAACTGCATTCCAGACAATGATTTACGTATATTTTAAACGTCCCTTCGAGTTCAAGTTTAAACTTACTAGAAATTCCAGCGAATTTTATAAATTCGGAGAACTTTAAGAAAAACTGGAATGAATAGTTATACAAACTGGAACAACACCTGTTTGTTTATATTTTTTATACATTTCCTAGAACACCGAGGTAAGAAGCTATTATAGTATCTGTTCTAGGAATTTGACGAATGATTCTCACGCTGAAATGCTTGCGAAAGGGTTACAACAATAATAGTGGTATAGCGTTTTAACAACTACGTAACCATTTGAAACTTAACAGTGCTTTCAATTAACATAAAGTGTTGCATCGGTAACAAATGTAATTCTGTTTAATTTTGGAACGCAAAGTCGCTAGAATTGAGCGCCATCTATGATTGAATTATACAATTTAGGAAGGTCAACTGCCTTTTAGAATTGCGTAGTTGATCTTTCACAGTATAGATGGAAAAACTAATTTCATTTCATATACATATATTTCAAAGGAATAAATAGTGTTTTCCTAAAGCCAGGCAGTATTCATTGATGAAATAACAACTGTGTTTGCCACCAATATCTAAAAAATATCTGGGAATTAATAATTATCCAAAATAAAAATAAAAAGTATGTGTAAATAGGTATCTTTTGCTTACCCATATTTTTGGTATCAAAAAACTGTTATTTTGATAAGATTTTTTGGGAAAAATTCTTTAAATTTATTTGAATTAGTAATCATATTAAATAACTAATAAATTTAGTGTCTTAAATTTTCTCCTCTTTTCTGATTTCCGACATTGTAACAATGATTCAGTCACTTGGGACACCTGTTGCTGATAGAAATCAATTTTCGTAACTAGGAAAGATTATTTCTGCTACTTATGAGATACGTAAATTAATTACACGTATTGTAAGCAACCTTATTATCTCTTATTGATAAATTCCAAGTAAAAGGTGTAGTGTCTAGCCGGTATTCAAGTAGAATAGTTTAGTTACTAATGCTCTCTAATTACAAAGATGAACTGCTTAGTATTTTCCATGGTGTTGCTGATTTTTAAAAGTGAGTATTGTTCTGATTGAAAATGTGTGCGTGTATTGTTTTCTGTTTGAAAAAAGTTGGATCGAATAACCTGCTTGGTGGATCTGGACATTAGAGACAATTTGATCTACGAAAGTTAATTTTTTAATTAGAACTAAGCGGTTTATTTTAAAATATCTCGGCATTAAATTGTATTTTGCTTCATCTGTTCATTTTCAATTATTTTTAGGAACTGCCAAATACGTTATAGCTGAAAAAAGCAATCAATTTTTTTTTAAACTTAATGACCATTTTCCTTAATTTAGGCATAAATAGCAATTAATTTATTTAATATCTATCATATCCTAAATAGATAAATTATGTAGAGACAGATAAGACTCACCAGGTGCATCATTACATGTGCTTTAATAGACACCATTGTTGTGTCCCAATACACATACGATAATTTTCAATTCGAAAAAAATTATAATCTTATTTGGACTCGAACGGAATTTAAAAAGCTATTTCCAAATTTAGATCTGTCGAAATTCCAATAATTCCATCGATCAATTTCTTGCAAATCGATAGAGCTAAAAACTGATTCAGAAAATGTCAATCCATCTGAAAGAGATTAAACAGATTTGAAGATAACACACCAGGTGTGCGTGTCAGCACAATTGATCCACTTCATGTGTTTCATTGAAGTGAATGCAGGGTTAAAATATGTTTTTCGGGAAAGTTAAGTAAAACCTAGCTTTGTTTTCATTAATTTCTGATATATTCCACAGATTATATTTTAGGTACACTAGCCTTGGAGGAGGAGTGTACAAAGAACTCTGACTGCACCACCACAAACTCAGTGTGCATTGGAAACAAATGCACTTGCGATGATCTGTCTTACCACAGCGCTTCCCGATGTCTTCCATGTAAGACTTCCACAATTCCATCTTGGCCCAAGCTGCATTTGTTAATTTTTCAGATGCCACCGAATATAGCGCTAGCTGCTACGAAAACGAGCAGTGCGACTGGTTAGGAGACAACTCAGAATGCATCCACAACCGATGCGTTTGTTCTGAAAATTTTAAGTGGTACAAGGGAAAGTGTCGGAAATACGCTGATAAGGGAGAAGCCTGCGACGCTTATGATGCGTGCTATAATGGTTACGATATGTTGTCTTTAACTTGTTCTAAGGGAGTCTGTGTCTGTTCCTCTGAAGAATATTACGACAGGGGGTATGACTGCAGGAAGTCATCAAAGGAAAGAGGAGGTAATCTAACAAGTATTTAATAGATATCCTTCAAACTGCCTATCTTTCTCGTAGACTGTGCCTTGACCCTTGACTGTCAGTCGCCTACCCTCGGATGTACTCGTGGAAAATGTACGTCCACCAATTCTTCCAGCGAGCAGCATTTTGGAATTTTAAACCAACAATTTCAGCCTGTCCAGGGGTTAATATACGGGAAAGGTATATGTTGCATGCTTCATGTGGGGTCACAAATCAAATAATTAGTTTTCTAGGTGCGATTTCTTGTGAAACTGATGGCGACTGTGTCGATATGGCCAATTCTCTGTGTGATATATCGAATAAAACGTGTAAGTGTAATGAAAATACTCACTATCTGTACAATGGCAATTGCGTCCAAGGTAAGGAAGAACTCGTTGGTTTCTTTTTTTATTTACTAAAAAATCATTATAGGTTTAAGTCACTGCGACGATGCCAGTGACTGTACAGATATCAGCAACGCAATTTGCTACAAACACAGCTGCGTTTGCCAACAGGGATTTTTTTCCAATGCCAAAGAGTGTGTAGCTGAGCTAGGAATGCAGGATCCTCATAACAATTACACAGCTGACAGCGACTGCCCTATTAAACCCGGCCAACTGGTAAACTCTGCTTGCTACTGCAAAGATTATTGGTTCAATGACGCATCTAATAGAAACTGCATAAAGAGTAAGTGTTTTAACTTTTCTTAAATCAGTACAGTATAGTACCCCGATTTCGCAGGTATGTCTGAGCCTGCACGTAGCTGTGTTGTCAATGAATGGTGTACTGCGATGGGTCCATATTCGTATTGCGATTCGGCATCCAATACTTGTCAGTGTAGTAGCGGTGCTACATTTAATGAGGAAACATATTACTGTGAGCCAAAAACTAATAACACAGGTAACGCAACACATGTTTTAAACAACCGCTTGCGAGAAGCTGCGTTGATTAAAATCTAAGCATAATACTATCAAATTTCGTGTTTTAGTTGACTGCCTAAGAGATACAGAGTGCGACATTAACGAACGTTGCGTAGATGAAAAGTGTGAATGTTCAGAGAATTTTTCGAGAGGTAACGACACCACCTGCGTCCCTAGTAAGTTATAGTATGAATTAATGAAACCGAATTTTATATAACCTCGTTTTTAGATATTGGAGCATCTTGCGCAAGCGCAACTTCTTGCTCGCATATGAAAAATGCACACTGCGTAGGCGGAGCATGCAGATGTGGTAACGACTATGTAGGGAAAGAAACCAAATGCCTAAAAAGTAAGTTCTTAACTTCTTATTGAGCAAAAGAGTATTGCAGTTAGTAAAAGAATTTTATTAACTTTATCCTATACGAAATGGGACAAATAAATCATCAATTTTCCACTACTACCTCAGTTTATCCGACATCAGTGTTTGGTCACGTACTTCAAATTTAGAGTGACCCTTATAATTAAATAATAAAAAGACCTAGATGTTTTGTATCACTTGACGGAAATATAAAGGGGAAATTTTCTACTCTATTAAGCACTGGAAGCAAAGTTTGTCAAGTGGTTTGAATAACAACAGCTAACTGCAAATATCTTTACTTATTCAAATACCTATTTATAGCTAATATACCATTTAGTAGTGGTTAATAAATGCTATTTTTCACAGTAACACATTTTAGTTGCTGAATGCTTACAGTGCTTAATTAATAATAAACTATAGGAGAAAATCATAAATGATATTTTTAACAGTACCACATTGTTTCGATGCAATTCAGTGTTTTACTGACTAAAACACCAATATTTGTAGCTAATAAACTGTACAAAAGTAGGTAATAAGTTATATTTTTGACACTAACATATTATTTTAGTTACTGATAGCTTGGAAGTACCTTGCGAAGAGCAGAAGCAATGTAATTCAGTGTTTTGCCGAATAAAACACTGAATAGTTGTAACTAATAAACTGTATAGCAGTAGATACTAAATGATGTTTCTGACAGTAATACATCGTTTTAGTTGCTGGTAGCTTAGAATATCCTTGTGAAAAGCAGAAACAATGCAATTCAGTATTTTATCGACTAATAAACTGTATAGCAGTAAATACTAAATGATGTTATTGACAGTAATACATCGTTTTAGTTGTTGATAACTTACAAACTCCTTGTGAAAAGCAGGAGCAATGCCTGTTTCATCGATTAAAATACTGAATAGTTGTAGCTAATAAACTGTATAGCAGTAGATAATAAATGATATTTTTAACAATAATACATCAATTTAGTTGCTGGTAGCTTAGATGCTCCTTGTGAAAAGCAGAAACAATGCAATTCACTATTTTATCGACCAGAACACTAATAGTTGTAGCTAATAAACTGTATAGCAGTCGATAGTAAATGATATTTTTGGAATACATCGTTTTAGTTGCTGATAATCTTGTGAAAAGCACTAGCAATGCAATTCACTGTTTAATCGGTTAAAATACTGAATAGTTGTAGCTAATAACTTGTATAGCAGTAGAAAATAAATGATATTTTTAACAATAAACATTAATCTAGTTGCTGGTAGCTTAGAAGCTCCTGGAGCTCCTTATGAAAAGCAGAGACAATGAAATTCATATTTTATAGACTAATAAACTGTAGATGCTAAATGATATTATTATATTATTTAGTTGCTGATAGCTTAGAAGCAACGCAATTCAATATTTTACCGACCAGAACACTAATAGTTGTAGCTAAACTGTATAGCAGCAGATAATAGACGATATTTTGACGGTAACACCTTATTTTAGTTGCTGACAGCTTAGAAGATTCTTGTGAAGAGGAGGAGCAGTGCCAGGGTCTCGCACACGCGGTTTGTGGTGTATCTGAAATCGAATACGTAACAAACGAATACAACGACACCTTACGATGTATCTGCGAAGAGGGATATACGGAAGTCAACGATATGTGTCATCAGGTTAAAAGTAAGTATACAGTTTTTGTAGATACGGTACTGAAATAATATTTTGCAGAATATGGCGACCCTTGTATGACCGAGTCGCAATGTACTTTGGTTCTTAATCGTTCTTACAAGTGTAGAAACAGTATGTGCCAATGTAATGTCGGCCAGTCATTGAAGAATGGGTATTGCACTTCTGCGAGTAACGTTGCTGTAGCCAGTTCTTTGCTGTTTTTGTCGATACTATTAAAGTTGGGATTAAGTTAAATAAAATAACACTGCTTTGGTTAACTTTTCTTTTTATTATACAAACACATATTTTTATATAAATAACATAAAGACATTACATGTATTTAATAATAACTATAGGTATTTGTCCATTTTAGTGATAAACAAATGTGATAAATTATTTCATTTAATTTAGGGTTAGACAGTGACTATAATGCTGCTAATTGTATGTGAAATATATACTATTAAGGGAAATTCATTATTTTTATCAAATGTTGTCATGTGTGTAACTCAAGAAAACATATTTGGACCTGATAGAAATGATTTTAAACATTAAATTAATGTTAAACATCCATTACAGTTTGCAAGAACATGCGATATCACGTTGATATTTTCAATCGTGTTATCACATCCAGGTCAGCTGAAAGCAAATAGTAAATCGAGGAAATGGGTGAAGTTAATGAAACGTGATATTAATATGATTTTATAAACATCTATACGATATATTTATTTTCATAGACAGTTTTTGATTTATAAAGTGCTTTTTATTATTTATATCAATTTCAAATTAAGAACAAATTTACTGTACATTATTTTACATTTCTTATAAATAAATATTTAGTCCTCTAAATGCTGCTTTTCACATATCTGTTAAAAACTCAACTTTTTTTTATAGTTTTCATAACATCAAACAATCATACAATATGTACAGTTTTTTTTATGCAAAAGTCAAAATAAACTTTCAAAAGGATCAGCATATAAAAGTGATAACCTGTACATGTCGAATAATTTTCTCGATAAAAATGTTTCATAAATTTTGGTTGAGGACGAGAAATTTGTCTTCACTTCAAAAGAGCAATTAGTTAACGGAATTTTGCTCTAATTAGGGGAGAGCTAATTACAGTTTAAGTAGATTTAACGCGTGACCCTACGGAAGTGACTTCCGTATTAACAGGTGTGACGTAGGAACAGAATTTTTCGTTTTTCTCATTCCGATATTATATTCTTTCAGTTCTGTTCTAGGAAAGCCGCACTTTGAAAACTGATTTTGACCTTGACATAATCAATAATAAATTCGTGTCAGCACGATAGTCAGTCTAAATCTTTCTATATATACTATGTGACACTGAAATTGTAACACCCAGTAGTACATAATTAATTCTGGTAAAGCGGTCACATTCATGTTTGTAATATCACCATAGGGAGTCCAAGTTTCAACAATCTACGTAAAAAGATATTAAAAAAATTGTGATATTTTTTAAATTTCATAAGTATGTATGTACATAAATTATTATTTTTTATTATTTATATTCAATAACTAATCGATTCCACCCCCAAACGGGACCTCCCACCTCCATCCTAGTCAGGATCGAGGTCAATTAGAGGTCAGATTGAGAAAAAGTGCATTTAATCAAAGGATCTCGGAGGTTAGGTTTGTTGGGTCACTGAGTGCGAATCGGCGAATTTAGTTTGTCTGTATCTGGCCATTTTGAGGTCATTTCAAGGTCAAATTGAGAATAAGCCGAGCAATCAAGTCCGAGCACATGTTATATAGGAATTTGAGGTCACTAAGTTCGAATCCGAGGTGAGTTTGTCTGTATCAGGTTACTTGAAGGTCGTCTCAAGGCCATTTTAAGGTCAAGTTGAGAATACAGCGTTTTATGGAAGAATATGGGTGAATTCGAGGTAATATGGGTTGGTATGAAGAAACAAGAGTTTTTGTGAAGTTTATATAGGTTAATATGGTCAGTTCAGTCTTTAGCTTCCAACAAGATTCGGTTAAATACAGGGAGGAAAGGAAACGTCTTTTTTCTCAAATCAACCTTGGAATGACCTTAAACCTGATTTGATACGTATAAACGGACCTTGAATTCAAACTCAGAGACTTCAAACACGGTAATCAATTTCTGGGTTTTTTCTTGATTTGGCCTTTAAATGACCTTGAAACAACCTTAAAATGGCCTGATACAGAGAAACTAACCTCGGATTCTAACCCAGCGACCCCAAAATGCTATATAACAGGTGGTTGGACTACATTGCTCGGCTCTTCTCAGTTTGACCTTGAAATAACCTTAAAACGGCCTGATACGGACAAACTAACCTCCGATTTAACGCACTTTTTCTCAATCTGACCTCTAATTGACCTTGATCCTGACTAGAAACGAGGGGGGAGGTCCCCTTTGGGGTGGAATCGATTAGTTATTGGATATAAGTAATAAAAATATATATATATTTCTTTTTTTTTGTCCAGAAATGAAGTTATTATTAGGATTTGACTTACAAATTCATTTTTTTTTCCAAATATATAAAATTTTGCTACATTTATCAAAATCTAGAGAAAATCGGAACTAAAAATTAATCTTAAGGTTCTGTAGAAAATTAGGTAAATCGAGTCAAGGATCGTGCATTTTTAGCTTATTTTACTTCCGGTATGTGCAAAAGACGAGGAGAGAGTGTAACCGCCCCTTCCGGACCCCCAGGGACGCCGTGGCGAATACCGGGTGTTCCATTTCGCGGGTCACACGGCAAAATAAACAATAACAGTACTGGTAGTCTTTGACGAAAGTCTAGAGGTGAATGTATCTTTGGTCTGGTTCACTGAACAGCAACGTGCACTGAACGTCTGGCCGCTCTGCAGCACTAGAAGCAGTAAGTGCGCTGGCCCGGGCACGCGGACGATGTCGGCGACTGTGGAATAGTTGCCCCGCGCCCCGGGCACTCCGGTCATCCGTAGTAGTAGTGGGTGCTGGAGGCGCTGCTCAAACTCCTCGGCATGTCGCTCTCCATGGCCTGGGGGGGACGGCGCAGCGTGTGGGAGTGCACGTGGGGGTATCGCACCACCTCGGCGATACTGCCCATGGGGGGCGAGTGGATCGTCACCGAAGGGACCGGCCCCGGCAGCGGCGTGGTCAGGTCGATGTCGGCGTCGACTTCGCTGATGTCGTCCGTGAAGCCGTTGGGGAGGGTGTTCTCGGAAATGTTCGTAGCGTGGAATTTCGCTTCGCGTCTCGCCCGGTGCCGTTGCAGGAGGAGGCGGCCCACCAGGAAGCTGAGCAGGAGGAGGAGGCCCGCCGCCACGCTCACTATTAGGTAGAGGAAGAAGCGTTCTTGGTTTTCTGGAAATTAAAGCGGATTACCGAGAGATCTGCTTGATACGGGATGGCCGAAATAATTCCCCAATTATGAATTTATATCATGTCCGGAAATACCGAGAATGAGACGTTAAACTGAAACGTGATCAATGAAACATCCTGTATATCTATTTTTGTATCGAAGTCATAACTTCAGGGGCGTGTTTGATTTTTTTTTTTGTATTAATGGTTACACTTTCCGATACATTTTTTTTGCGGATCGAGTAGTTTTAGAGATATATTAAATCTATTCAACAATATATAAAGTAAAATTAAAATAAGGATTTTGAACGATAAATTACATGGTGACCTTGGGTTTGACCTTCAACTGATCTGCAAGGAAAACCTTGAAAATTTTTTTGATTCTAGATTCCGACATAAAATTCAGCGCTGTATCCGTTGCTGGCATAAAAAATAGTGAGTTCCATTTGATATCAAGTTGACCTTGGTTTGACCTTGCCACTTGCATCGGCTAAATGGAATGAGTGATTGTATAATATATAAACTCATTAGTTAACTTCACTTAAAATTGCAAATACGTAAATGGTCAAGGTTAAATTCAAGGTCACCATCTAATTTGTCGTTCAAAATCCTTTTAATTTTGCTGAAAACATTTTTGTCGAGTTTTATAGTTGTTCAAAGTTATACATTTTATATTTGCTTGCGTTACTAATAATTAAATCTCATGAATATTTTATATATTGGCCGGACAGAAAATGCTAAGGCGTGTAGTGGAAACATAAATCTACATCTATTTAGTGAAATTTAATTTTTTATTCAGTAAATAATATTTTCATCATCATAAATACACATTAAATGCAAGCGAGAGATGATCCAAGTTAAATTTACTTTTTAAAAGTTTTTAAAACCTAAATTTATACTCCCTGGCTGTCAGGTTGTAAATAATGCAAAGTTATTTGACATTATCTTTGCATTTGTAAAGCAAGATATTGCTGTTCGAGAAATTTCATAATTTTCATTTGTATTAGTGTTTCAGGACGATTTCACAACCGCACTCGGCTTTATTTAATATTAGTTTGTGTCATTTCAACTAAAATCGAATGCGCTTTGATTTTCATCGTGTTTGGAGAGAGGGAGAGAGATGGAGTAAGCTGGGCACATGGAAAACATATACATACTATCGAAAATGTCAAAGTAAAAAAGTATTTTCTGATTGAACAGATTTACTTTGTTACCGTGAATGAAAATTGTGATATAACGGAAAAATGTAATACACAAATATTTAGTTTTCAGCGATAGTTCAGGAAAATTTGTTTTTTTTTTCAGAATATTCGTTTAAGTTTATATGACATTTACATTTATCCGACAATATTTTAAAAAATAACAGTTTTAGTGTTAGTAAAATATCTGTTTGTTTCTGTTTTACCGAAAAATTAAAGGATTTAGGAAAAAATTGAATGACACAATAATATGGTAAATATTTGAATTCATTATTCCAATTTAATAAAATACATATTCCACAAATTAAAATAGAATTATTTATAAATATAAATAATTTAATTAGTTTTAAAAACATAATTTGAAAATAATTTTATATTTTAAATGTCACAATTTAATTGGAACTGAATTTATTAGTAAAAATATCCATACACATAAATTCTGTGACACATAATTATCACATTTTACAAATATTGAAACATGCAACGTCCCTCTACCCGAAATATGATTCAATATAATGAAAAATTATTCCGATACTAATGCTACCACCCCCCGCTAAATCATTATAATTTTTTAATTGCAAATTAATGGTTCTCGCCTCAGTTACTGCCAATAAGTGCCTAGTAATTGATAATCAATAAATATGAGCATTCTGGATAAATAAGAAGGGTAATATCCAGTTAAATTGCAAGTGGAGTGCGATATTTCAAGACAAAAAGTGATTTTTAATAGCCCTTTATAATATAGTGTGGTAGTTTGTCCATTTCATCTTACTTTACGATGAATTTCTGTATTGTTCAAACTGAAATTTAAATTTTATGTTCCAATTCGCGTATCCATACACTTAAACACATATCCCGAAAGCCATGTTTCCTAAGTTGTCGTAATTTATACTAAATTTCCTGAACTAGCCGTCGAGCAGGGTTTTTGTCTAGGGTGACTGTACTAGGATTGAGGCCATGCAAAGAAGATGCACGATTACACAAGCAAGCAGTAGCCAGTGAAACGCACAATGCATAGCTTAGAGTGGAGCGAAAAAATGAATTTCCGATATCTACTTCGGGCCTCTTGCCCCTTTGTGGCACATTGGCAGCGTGAAATTATTATAACTAACCCATTTTATTTGCAAACGCTCGTAACAATATCACATAATACTTTCCGAGCATATTGGAGGCCTTCCCATATTCGAAAGGTCGGTGAAAATATTAACTTTGGTCATAATATACGGAAACTTAGACATTGAAAAAAAATCGCTTGTTGCTACCTTAAGGGATCACAAATTTAAAATTAAAAGTTAATAAATAAATATGTATATAAATATTCAAAAAGTCGGTAAAAATATTAGTTTTTCATAATATGCGGAGACTAACTTAGACTTAGAAAAAATACAAAAAATTGTTTGTTACTACCTTAAAGGGTCAGAAATGTAAACAATTTAAAATTAGGTGGTGTTGTACAGGACGTTGAAGCTTATTGGAGGCTCTCCAGTATTCGAAAAGTCGGTGAAAATATTGGTTTTGGTCATAATATGCGGAGACTAACTTAGACTTAGAAAAAATACAAAAAATTGTTTTTTACTACCTCTAATAATTAAATCTCATGAATATTTTATATATTGGCCGGACAGAAAATGCTAAGGCGTGTAGTGGAAACATAAATCTACATCTATTTAGTGAAATTTAATTTTTTATTCAGTAAATAATATTTTCATCATCATAAATACACATTAAATGCAAGCGAGAGATGATCCAAGTTAAATTTACTTTTTAAAAGTTTTTAAAACCTAAATTTATACTCCCTGGCTGTCAGGTTGTAAATAATGCAAAGTTATTTGACATTATCTTTGCATTTGTAAAGCAAGATATTGCTGTTCGAGAAATTTCATAATTTTCATTTGTATTAGTGTTTCAGGACGATTTCACAACCGCACTCGGCTTTATTTAATATTAGTTTGTGTCATTTCAACTAAAATCGAATGCGCTTTGATTTTCATCGTGTTTGGAGAGAGGGAGAGAGATGGAGTAAGCTGGGCACATGGAAAACATATACATACTATCGAAAATGTCAAAGTAAAAAAGTATTTTCTGATTGAACAGATTTACTTTNCTTAAAGGGTCAGAAATGTAAACAATTTAAAATTAGGTGGTGTTGTACAGGACGTTGAAGCTTATTGGAGGCTCTCCAGTATTCGAAAAGTCGGTGAAAATATTGGTTTTGGTCATAATATGCGGAGATTAACTTATACCTTGAAAAAATACAAAGAATTGTTTGTTACTACCTTAAAGGGTCAGAAATGTAAACAATTTAAAATTAGGCTGTGTTGTACAGGACGTTGAAGCTTATTGGATGAATATGATAATTCGAAAAGTCGGTGAAAATATTAGTTTTGGTGTCATAATATGCGGAGACTAACTTAGATCTTGAAAAAGTACAAACAATTGTTTTTTACTACCTTACAGGGTCAGAAATATAAACAATTTAAAATTAGGTGGTGTTGTACAGGATGTTGAAGCTTATTGGAGGCTCTCCAGTATTCGAAAAGTCGGTGAAAATATTAAATTGAAAAAAAATCAAAGAATTTTTATTGCTACCTTAAAGAGCGGGAAATTTAAATAATTTCAAATTAATTGATGTTGTACAGGACGTTATTTTTAATTGTCGGTTGTTATAGGTACGGTTGTTTGTGTTATTTTAAGAATTTATGTCAGACTCGCGGTCAGTATTATAGAGACATAACCTTACGGTGGCAATGAGCACCCGAACAACAACATTAGGCCTAAGCCGACCCCAGTATCGGAATTCAAAATCCTTTTTTCAGTCCACCCCATCGGACAGATACTTACGTGAGACGAATGCGTACGCGTTAATCCACTCGGAAATGAAGCCGATCACCCCGGTTTTCTGGCTTGGATCCGACCCGGCGTACACCGTGATGGTGCAATTTGGATCGGGGATAACATCGGCCAACATATCTTTGGTAGTTTTCTGCATGGTTGGAGATCGGGAACGGAACGGGTTAGAACGAGAACGAGGAGTTGTGTGGGGCTGAAAGGGGGCTGCAACCAAATATCACTCAATAGAGGGCGCTGCTTAGTCTCAGAAGTTCCGCTTATCCTCCACGTCATTCCTTCGACTCACATTAATAAAACAGCAGTGCACCTCGACCACCCGAATTATCGCACGGGCTCTTCTGTCATCGACGAAAAATAGTAATAATGATAATAACTCGAAAGTTTGGCAAAATCTTAATTGTTTCTAATTCTTTGGGACACTTAAACCAACTTAACACCATCAATTAGAATAGTAAAAGCTTTATAAAACGAATGACACTACTGTTTTAGTAATATGTATGCGTCTCAGTCTCATATGATGGCGAACTTCTGAAACTGTATTTAAATCTGACCTTGATATTGAGAAATGTGGAATGGCATACTCTAAATTAGAGTCTATTTATACCGCTCGCTGCCCAAATTAAACAGGATAATATTTATCTAGCGAAGAAAGCTAAATTTAACGACCATATACGCCAAATTGCAGGCTGTAATTGAAATGTGAGCATATTCAACAATTTTTTTGTACACAACCCTAAATTGTACACGCAAAAAAATTCTTGCTTCAAATGTACAACATTTGATTTTAAGGTATCGTACGTTTATGTATACGCAAGAAAATATTTTCTTCTTTCAAGAAAATTATTTATTTATTTAAATACTATGAATTTCTACCCAGAAATGTAATTTATTACTTCAAAAATAGGCAGCATTTAAAATAAATATTTGATACTTACGATTAAATGAATTCTATTCTTAATTTTATGGTCTACATAGATTTTATAGAAACATGTTTTGTTAATATGTATTAATGTATCGTTTGTTCAATACATAATTGAATAGTTTTGGTCAAATGATTGTATATACTCATTTTAAGAATATATTTGGATATAAATATTTGTCAGTAATAAAAATTATTTTGTTTAACCAACCAGATATAGGTGGGTTTGGGACTTATTGATGGTCCTCATCATTATATCTTTAGGACGATCCAGATGCTTTATTGTCGTTACTCACAAGGAAATATGTATACATAGACCGTAAGTGGCTCGATCTATCGTACTACTTCCCACTTACGCCATTCTGTGACCTGCTACAATTTTCTTTCAAGAAAACATAAGTTTGATTTTAATATGCTACATTTGTCTTGAATAATTCCTACATTAATACTAAATTTTAAATATACATATATATTTTAAGGAACTGGGAGTTTTGAAACAAATATGTTTCCAGTTTATGATGAACTGTAAGAGATATTGTAGCTAAAGTCCGAGAAAATAAATTTCAAAACTATAAAAGATTTGCATTAAATTATGTATATTTACAAATAATATAAATTCTAAGAAAAATTATAGATTACAGTAAACATTTCACATAGTTTGACGAAGGTATATACATTTGAATAGAATAAAATAACATTTACGGCAAATAATTCCATTTAAAACAATCTGCTCATTTGATCCAAATATATATTTTTTTCAGTGTAGCGGTAAAGTATATTTGATAAATATAGAAACAAAGATATCAGTTACGCGAATATTTAATTTATTAAAAATTATAAAATATAATCATCAGTATCAAAAAATATACCACACATTCCATTTCATTGTTTCCTTTTTTAATTAAACACGTAAAACTGCCAGGACGTCGAACCGCGACATCATATTCCGCAGTTAATTTGAAATTAAATGGAACAGAACATTGACAATTTCCTCCTTTTTTTTCCTGGCTTTTATCAAAGCTGATTAAGAACCGAATGCAATTTGTACTTGCCACCAGTAACTACGCCAAATTAATTCACTCATTGTTTGAAACAGGAATTTGATGTACTTTGCGGTCTTCCACAGCGGCGAGTTGCTCCAGAGTTCTAATGTTGCCTAGCTAGATAGAAGACGCTTTATCTACCGCCGCAAAGTGATTGTTAACGCATTAAATGTTTACTCTGCAGTATTATTATAAAAACATACGAAAAATTTAATTAGAAACATGGGTAAATCATGTCTTGGCTGTTAATATACAATTTCCATCCACATTTTCTCATTTCAAGGTCATATTTGGCTGGCCCTCACCATAATATTTTACGGCTGTGCACCGATTTTTTGAGAGAGTGCCTGTAGGGCACCAGATGCCTTTACTACCCTTAACCATCCGTTGCGTTCTGCGTTTTGTACCGCTACACCCTGCTAGCCGCCGCCCGTAAGCCATAGTAAGCGTTACAGCGAAGCCGGTAAGCAATATTGCCACTACTTGTCCACATGCACCACTATAATAAACCCTAACGGTTATGGCCGGCATCCGACTCGTGTGCACTTCACGATCACGTGTAATATCTAACTAGTGTATTTTGTAAGTACGTAAATAAAGCTTGTTTATTACTCGATGCAATGTCCAGAAAGAATTTTGTTGCACACTGGAAGAACAGTTAGTATCGAAAGGAGAATTATTATTGTTATTTGAAATAAGTGGCGGGTAAATCTAAAAATGGGGAGGCCAATTTTAACATGTTCCTCGTTGAAATCGTTCTGAACTTGACTAAATGCTTAGTGGGTGTTTTGGGTCGCTGATCACGAATCCGCAATTTGTAATATTCAAGATGGCGGACGAATTTTTTGAAAATCAGTTAATTTGCATCAAAGATGGTATACGGCCGTTTTTGAGGTTGCTGATCACGCCAAAACCCCCGTATATCAAATTCGGTCCCTCATTAAATTTAAAAAACCCCATCCACCATCTTGGATTCGCCATCTTGAATTTTGAAAATCTGTCCTCGGATTCGTGATCAACAACCTCGAAAACCTCCGTATACAAAATTTGGTGACAATCGGTTAGCTTCAAAAATTTCGTCCGCCATCCTGATTTCGCCGCCATTTTGAAATTTTTGAAACGGTCAAGGTCATATCTGAACGTAAAATTTTTCGCTCTTTCCATTTCCGGGGTCAAAAAGGGGGTTCCCATTTAAAAAAATCGTCTTGACCCCATAATGACCATGTGGTAAGTGGTCAGTGGTCAGCGGTCATGGCATGGTCACCATTGAATAGCCAGGGAAAAATCCTTTTCCCTATATTTGGTTATTCCGGAAAATGCATATCTCGCGAGATTTTTTGGGGGTCCCCATACTTTTATGCCACCCTGTATAATAAATACAGTAAAAATATATATTTATGCCAATTTCTAGTAATACTTTGAATCTTTCTTTATTTTCGCATATCCACGCGGGAGGTTATTGACCAAGCGACCCTATATAGAAACCGCCACTGTTTCAAATACATCAAGAGCTTTAGATTAAGTTATTAAATGATCTTATGCGAATTTTTTTAAATATTTTTCAAATATAAACTAGAAACAAATCCCAATGTGTTATATGCAGGTCATCAGGTGTAAGATTGAGCGCGCAACTGGAAACATGCGCGGAAGATGTAATATTTCCAATGATCTGCGCAAGTTTGAACACTCAGATCTAGAAAATTGGTCTTGCATTTACAGTAACTTGTTGTTTTCTGTTTTTATTTCACTTTTTCACTTTAGAGCTTAGTTTGGCCATGATAAATTGCGATTAATTGCTATTAGTTAGATATTAGAGTGAAGGTGGCGGAAGAGTCGAACGCTAGTCAAAGCACCAAGCATGCGCACTTACCAAAGTCGAACCCGTTGGACTTGTGCGGCGGAGTTTTGGAGCTAACGTCGCTTATATCTTTGGTAAAGTTGTCTTTGGCGATGCCTTCGATGTTTGGCGCTGGCGGAGAGGCGGCGGACTCTCGGATGAATTCGTTTCCAGCATCGTATACGTCGAAATCGTCGTCTTCGTCGTTTGAAAATTCGTCTTCGGTTTCGTCTGGTTCTAAAGCGCCTTCGTATTGTTCTTTCAGTACTTTCCTCGGCACTGCGGAATGGAAACATTAGCGAAAATTAATCTTTGTCCGTTGAGGAGCTTACCGCACGTGTACACCACTTTTAAGTACATCCTGGATTGAGGTTTGCATGGACTTCCGAATGTACTGATGTCGGCTGTCAAATCACATGTCCTCTTCCCGTGGCAGAGCTGCATCACTGTCTCAGTAGCGTAGCTAACTAGGCATGCTGGAAAAAATGTTATCATTAAAATAAGAAAATAAAATTGGAAGTTAAATGTGGAATCATTCCGCACTTTAAGGTGTTACTGAACCGTGAAATAATTTAGCGTTTCGCTTTAGGTATTTAATCATGCGATAACGCTTCGTGAAAAGCACCAGACGAATGCTTTACTGAAATTTTTTGGTGCTTTTTTTTGCGGCAATGTCCCTAGTCTTCGGGATTACAAAAATAATGAGGTCTCAGTTCAAGTATCCAGAATAATCCTGTCGTTGCTCCTAATGTATTTCAGCTAAGTACTGAAAAATTCCAGTCACCTGGGATTTGCCGTAACGATATGAACTTTGGACAATAATTTATCGTTCCATAGCTCCTGCCGACGGTAGCGAAGAAAGGTTTTTGGCTGTCAGGATTGTCTTACGAACAGTTTTACATTTTTCACCTATGTAAAATAAATTTACCTCCAAGGACTATCACAAAAACTGGATAAGAACGAATTGCGATGTAATTAAACGTTTATCAATTCACAGTTCTCAGTCCAACCTTACTTCATTTGAAAATATCAATATTTTGTAATACAGGGTGTCCCAAGAAGTCCCGATCACCCTGATAACAGTTCAGGATTGAGCCCTATCAAATAAATTTCAGATAAAAGTTGTAGGTTACACAAGGCCACAAAATGAAATTGAGACTTACTTTCTCTCAAACCAGTTGACCTTTATGTTTTTGAGATCACTGATCATGACCCCAGCACGTCTGGATTAAGGTTAAATGAAGGTCGAATTTATTTTTTTGAATGATATAACTTTTTTGATCCCGAAATCCGAAACAGCGGTCCAAATACATGTTGACCTGTTGGTGAAGGTGACTTCTGGAGATTATCTGGAGGTCATTTAAAGGTCGAATCTGAGATTTGAATCTACCGGCTGAAATTTGCGCTTCGAAACGAGACCTCGGATCTCGGACCAGTTGACCCTTACGTTTTTTAGGCCGCTGATCAGCGCAGCGCGTCTAGATCAAGGTCAAATAAAGGTCAAATTCCAGACGCGCTGGGGTCACGTGCACATCGGATTCGTGATCAACGACTCAAAAAACGTAAAGGTTAACTGGTCCGAGATCCGACGTCTCATTTCGTAGCGGAAATTCCAACCGGTAGGTTCAAATCTCAGATTTGACCTTTAAATGACCTCCAGAGAGTCAACACGTATTTGGACGTAAAATTCCCCGTTCTTTCGAAATCGGAGGTCAAAAAAGTTATATCGTTCAAAAAACGAAATTTGACCTTCATTTGACATTGATCCAGACGTGCTGGGGTTTTGCGGATACCGAGATCGTGATTAGCGACCTCAAAAACATATAAGTTGACTGGTCTGAGAGAAGGTGAATCTCAACTTCTTTTTGTGGCCCTGTGTTATTAAGAAATTAACCTTACAAAGTCAAGCCAAGGTCAACTTAATAAAAAATACTAATGGAAACACCAGTACTAGTTATCGTTAGTAAATATTACATCTGAGTATGAGCCAGAAAATTTTTTCTATATGTCCTTGTAGGTCATCTGAAGGTCAATCTCATTTTCCTCTGAATAGTTCGACAGAGATGTTTAAAGCAAAGTTTCTAGAAATTAGATGATGATTTTGGATTTGACCTTCACCACAAGTTGCAAGGTCGGTCAAATGAAGGTCAAATTTCATTTTTTGAATGATATAGTCCATGATGTCATTGTAGGTCATTTGAAGGTTAAGCCCTATTAAAAAAAACGTGTTAACGCTTTCTAGGAATATACAGACTGTTTTAGTTCGAGGTACCCATTTTTTATTTGACATTTTGATCTGTATGATGTATTGAGGGCGTGTCGCGCGCCTACACAACGTTTGTCGATACAGTTTCGATTAATATTTGCCAAAATGTTCGGGTACGGAGTTGATTTTGTCTGCGTTGAGTTACAATCTAATGGAGAATTAATAATAATTAAATAAACCCAGTAAGGCAAATAAGGCTGAGTTAGGTAGAGCCCCGCGTTTGGTATCTTTAGTATTAGTAGGTTAACGGGGGTATATAAGATAACCAAATTATGAAAATTAGTGTTTGCGCTTTAGTTCTAACCGTAGAAATCTGTTAGCACAATTGGAATTAGAATTAACGTAGACTATGGAGCAAGCGTAGCAAGTATTATCCTGAAATGCCGGGATTTTACTAAAATAAAGGTGCCACGCTAAACCAAAAATCAATATAATAACCTAGTTATTTGTTCGGTGGATTTTTCAGACAGGAAAGTCTTTAAAGTAATACAAACGAAATGTTTCACTTTGCAAGCTAGAAACGAGGACGGAACTTCTTACGGTTTTTTGTTTATATTTGGCTTTAATTTGCGAAGCTTTCGGCGGATCTTATCCCCTAAACTTAAAATCTTCTCTTCTTAAATACTAAAAGAGGTACAGCGTCGTTTTTGTATGTGATAAATAAAACCTGAAATTAATCCTGCGAACTGTAATTGCTCCACGCTAGAAGGAAGCCAATATTTTACTTCCCTAAAAGGATTTTATTGTTTTTGAATTATGTTTGCAATAAACCGTCCTGGTTCCAAGCCAAAACGGAACTAGTTAGTTCCCTCCACCTTAGTTATTTAGACTGCGTATATCGGCAATATACAGGGTGTGTACAAACTTGCAGAGGATATAAATAAGCCAAACGCGCAAACTCAATTAACAGAAATATTTTTTGCAGATAGGATACTTTTTTATACTGACAACCACAATAATATGGAGAAACATTTGCGGAACCACTGCCATTAAAACATCCCTTCCAAATTTGTAAACATCCTGTACTTGCTGGATAGTTTTTATTACAGACAGGGCTAAATATATATGTTTAAACCGTGTTTTCAAACACAATGTTGCACTTGATTATTTAATAATTTAATTAAAATTAATCCGATTGATAGAATATATATATTTCGTATATGCCAATATTAAATGATTACAATAATAATTTTACATGTATGCTGTCTGGATGATTTCAAACAAATTTTGTTAAAAAATTATTTCAAATTGATATTATGGAATCCCCTCTACATACATGTTTTTGTTGAGGTCAATATACAGGGTGCTCTTGAGAAATGTCTGATATTAAGTGATTAGTTTTTAAGGGTCACAATACGTGCCCCTAGAATACTAACTTGGAATATTTCAGTCGAGTAATAATTGGTTTTTAAAACTACACTTAAACTTTTATCAACGGCGCCACTGGACAGGTGCCTTTTTAAAGGAACTAATTTAGCACCACATTTAATTTAACTTAAACCAAATGATTTTGTAAAAACATATTGATTTTGTATCACTTTGCGTCATGTTATAGTCTTTCCGATCTCAATTGAAGACCAAAGAGCTATGTACCAGGTTTTTTCAAGAAAATTGAGACAATTTTTCTTTTTTACTTAGAGTAAATCTGATAAAACAAGCGTTTTCAGTGAGTCCGAAAACGTAATATTTGGCCGTTTTTATAAAGGTTTTGGGCACATTCATATTTTGGTAATTTATCCTACGGAATATACATAAACTATTATAATATAGCTCAAGAAAATTAGACAAAATTTTTTTTTTAGTTAGAGTAAATCTGACAAAACTAGCGTTTTCAGCGAGTTCAAAAACGTATATTTGGCTGCTTTTATAAAGGTTTTGGGCACTTTTATATTTTGGTAATTTTTGTATAAACTATAATATAGTTCAAAAAAATTAGCATAATTTTTTTTTTAGTTAGAGTAAATCTGACAAAACCAGCGTTTTCAGCGAGTCCGAAAACGTATATTTGGCTGCTTTTATAAAGGATTTGGGCACTTTTATATTTTGGTAATTTTTCCTACGGAATATACATAAACTATAATATAGCTCAAGAAAATTAGCACAAAATTTTTATTTAGTTAAGAGTAAATCTGACAAAACTAGCGTTTTCAGCGAGTTCAAAAACGTATATTTGGCTGCTTTTATAAAGGTTTTGGGCACTTTTATATTTTGGTAATTTTTGTATAAATAAACTATAATATAGCTCAAAAAAATTAGCATAATTTTTTTTTTAGTTAGAGTAAATCTGACAAAACTAGCGTTTTCAGCGAGTTCAGAAACGTATATTTGGCTGCTTTTATAAAGGATTTGGACACTTTTATATTTTGATAATTTTTCCTACGGAATGTACATAAACTATAATATAGCTCAAGAAAATTAGCACAAAATTTTTTTTTAGTTAAGAGTAAATCTGACAAAACCAGCGTTTTCAGCGAGTCCGAAAACGTATATTTGGCTGCTTTTATAAAGGTTTTAGGCACTTTTATATTTTGGTAATTTTTATATAAATAAACCAAGAAAATTAGCAAAAATTTTTTTTTTAGTTAGAGTAAATCTGACAAAACCAGCGTTTTCAGCGAGTCCGAAAACGTATATTTGGCTGCTTTTATAAAGGTTTTAGGCACCTTTATATTTTGGTAATTTTTATATAAACAAACTATAATTAGAATCAAACTATAATCAGAAAATTAGTATAAAAATTTTTTTTAGTTAGAGTAAATCTGACAAAACCAGCGTTTTCAGCGAGTCCGAAAACGTATATTTCTACATATCATATACAAATATTTATTATTTTTTACCTTTAGCGGAAAACTTTTTTGGGGACGCCTATGAAAGTCATTAAATTTTATTGCTACATGTTCAATTGACTTCGGAAAGACTATCCTTTAATGTCATTATATATTTTTACATCAATGGGGGGCGAAAAGCAGAAAATTAAAAAAATCTCGAATGTTTCGAATAGGGAACAGCATATCAATCCATATGAAGGATAGATATATAAAAATTTTCACGACGGAATTTGAAGATGTTTCTAAAGGTCCCGTTTGCAGTTACACCCTGTACAAATTATTTCTAACGCTATATGCTCACGACAACTTTAGCGTGTAGTAAAACTCAATATGAATGCCATAAAAGGTCCCAGATTGAACCATTGGTGCGTTCAAACCGTTTTATTCATATAGGGAGAAATCTGTATAATAAAAAAAATAATCAACTCACTTTCCTCTGGCACACCCTGAGGTTGAGGGCACTGGATGCTCTCGTACTCCGTCCTGCCGTAGCTGGCGCTGTAGACGGCTACTCTCGAGTTGGGATTGCACTTCAATTGGATTCGCTCATTCTCGCAGGCCACTTTACTTCGAAACTCATCTGAAAAATGTCGGTTCTATTTAATTCTACACGCCGTGCGGCTAATTCTCTATCTGCGGTCTATTCCGACAGTAAACAGCCATCCAACTCCTTTGTATATCTTAAACAACTGCGTGAATCCCTCGCTATTCGACCTAATACCAAGCGGGTTCGTTTTGTGTTGCATTTAAACAATTTTCCATTTCATCGAATCATTACATTCGAAGGAAAAGTAAATAATTAATGAGTTTTATTTTATATAGGTACCGGAAAAATATCTTTTGTAGTATCTAGGTCATCTTTGGACGTTAATTAACTAAAAAGTATCCCCCTACTTTTGTTATTTTATGCAGGAGTCCGTCTTCTGTGAGATATAATTAAGTTTTCTTTTCGCGTGACTGTATACCTTCCCTGAAATTAAATCTTTACTGAAATATCCGCGTAAATATTCGTCGGGGCGTGCGACTGTCCGTATTAATTCTTATTAAATTCTCAAATTGGAATCGTGTTAAAACATCCTACACCGTATCCGCGATGAAACAAGGTTATTTCAAAATATCTTTTCTCACAAATATATTTCCGTTAATCGGACTCGTCGTTATCTGCACAACAGACACTCGATAGAGATGTAAACATCACTGGGAGCAACTTTTTTTATATATTTCTTTAAGGCTGGGAGACTGAAAAGTTCAAACGGGATTAAATGAAGTGAATGGGGCGTAAATTGAGAATCTTTCTCAACTATCAGGAGCCGTTTCAGCGAAAAGCTGTAGCTCTAAAAACTCGATACTTAATTTCAACCCAACGGACAATATAAACAGGACGAATCTCTTTTCCGTCTAGGAAAAATGGTAACGACGAAAGTTTTCGTAATTTCTTGAAATTTTAAAGCAATATACTGGGTGTTCCACCTACGAGGGATTCTTCCGTAACTTTCTTTACTTGGCCCACATGATTCCAGGTACTTTTGTGAAAACATTTTTTTTTATAAATTTTACAGTTGCAGAGTTACAGAAGAATCCCTCTTAGGTGGACCACCCTGTAGATGTACAGGGTGTCGAATTTAATCTTCCTTGTGTTTATTGGAGAAGAGCATTCCTGCTTCTCATATGACCCCGGACAAAATAGTCAAGAGGATTAATGTCGGGTGACCGATGAAGTCATGATACTAGATCTGTCTAAATCAACAAATTTTGTGAAAATTTACGTGCAGCAAAAGGTTTCGCTTCATTTAATCGGAACCCTTTGATTTTATGATAATTTTGCAAGGACAGCTTTTCGTCTAAAATGTGATCAGTGATTTAAAAATTTTTATGTAATTTCAAGAAAACCCATAGGCGTAGAATTTTTTTAAAAAAAGGGGACTGACTGCCCGCCTACCACGCCACTGGTAGTTGTAGTGAATAGGTCATTTTTAAAGAACAATGTCGCCATAAGTCATACTTAATTTGGTTTCCTTATTACTTGCTGTTTTATATGAACTTTTTGTTTAAAATCAAGTTCTCTATCAACTGTTAAAGTTAGTACGGTTTTCAAAGGAAGCCCTGTACATTTAACCGGTATAAAGAGCATAGGTTCAACATTCGTTGTTCATCCTTTTGGCATATTTCCAATAGGGCCGCAGGAAGGTTATAAGAAATCCATTTTTTGGGAGTTTATGTGTCAATCTCGGATCCCGCCCCATTTCACAACTTATACGAGCAACGCCAGCAAGTGTCGGTGGAGTAAATGCTACGTTACTGTTGCTCTCGCTCCCCGCCCTTGTTTAGCCTCAGTTCGACTCGTTAAATTTTCAGCGTCTTCAAACTAGGAATCTCGCGACACTACGGACTACGATTTATTTCACGCTTGCAGATTTCGTACTGAATTTTATATGTCATCTCCCGATCCGTGGAGATTTGCATTTTTTCAGGCACTTAATTTTTTACAGAACAGAACACGAACATTGAAGCGAAACAGCTGATTTCCCCAGTCGTCTTGACAGAGCAGCGGATCTTAACTTTGTTAACAAAGTGCTATGGACGAATGAGTGAATGTTTTGCCCCCTCCCCCCCTCCCCAGACGGTCCGAAATTTTGTTACTTCATTTTTAGTACAAATAAAACAACAAGGAACCAAAAAATAAACCCCTATAATGAAATTATAAACTCAGTTCTCCATCTTTTGTACAATTTTTTTTTTTTGACATCACCTGTGCAAACACCCCCCTAAAATCCATCTCTGGATCCGCCCCTGGGTACCATACTACCCTTTGAAAAGCACAATAAGGTATACGTACTACAAACGGAATAATTAATTGAACATAGTGAAAACGTCAACGTTTTGTCGTCCAGTACAGATTAAAGACGCAGTAAAAGCTAGGTTAGTGACCGACTACGGTGGGCCAAGATTCACTCTCGATAAACCTTCGTAGGCCAGCGGTCAGGAGCGGTCCGAAAAGGGGGTTTTCGTTAAGGAATTGTGACTTTTGGTTTATAACACGAGATGTGTGGCGGTATAATAAAAGTTAGAACAGATAAATACTAGCCGGTGAAATATCTTTAAGTGGTTTCCCATGTTTGGAAGACCATAAATAATGCCCTCTGCGACGCAGGAAATAAACTGCTTAATTAAAATTGAATACGGAACATCCGCAGTTTAGTGATGTCAATTTATTTTATTTCAAGTGCATAGTGCCAAACGCAGTTGGCTCTGTTGTGGCGCTTTCCGTGACAATTCGAGCGGACCGGCCACTGACGTGAAGGGAGCCGGCAGCCCCGATACAAATGCAATTAGATTAAAAAAATGCAAATTGTGAGCGCTGGAAGCGTATGCTTATTTTAAAAATAGACTGATATAAAACAGTTTCAGCTTCCTGAATAATTCGTCCGTTTTAAACTTCAAACAAAACGCGAAAGGAAAAGTATGTTAATACACACATCACCCCGAGCAGAACTAGTTGTTGACGTGTTCCAAAAAAGATTGAAAATTAAATAAGCAAGTCCGCGATAATCGCATTTCCTTGCCTCCTTTATTAGGCCTGGAAAATAAGCTGCGAAATGACCATTTCGCGACTTTTTGTTTCGGCAAGCTGAATTTATCACTATAGGTGCTAAATATTATGTACAATAACATATTATTTTTTTTGACAAACGATCCTAGCTGTTGCACTAGGTGTTGCGGGTATTATTCAATGCCGGTAGGGGCATATAGCCCCCGGAGTAGTTGTTTCTCGCAACACCGACAATTAAAACATTGTCTTCGCCCTCTGTTGGTGGCAGTCGTGCAACAAATACCTGCAATATAGCATAGTCAGCACGACAGATGGAGCCCTTTGCGCTCCCGCGTACAATAACATTAGTTTCCACAGTCATAAAAATGGGGGGAAGATTGTTTACAGGGTAGTTAATTGTATAATTTTTACATAAATTCACGTTTTTCGCTTATAACTTTTTTCCGTTCATTTCCACGAGAAAACAGTAAGGTACTTTTTTTTTCGTCTTCAAAAGACCTACAAAACTAGCCCTCGAGCGTAAAAAAAAAATATTGATTAGATCATAAATAAACTTCTTCTGTTTATAACTTTTGATCTAATCAATATTTTTTGACGCTCGAGGGCTAGTTTTGTAGGTCTTTTAAAGACGAAAAAAAAAGTACATTACTGTTTTCTCGTGGAAATGAACGAAAAAAAGTTATAAGCGAAAAACGTGAATTTACGTAAAAATTATACAATTAACCACCCTGTAAACAATCTTCCCCCTATTTTTATGACTGTGGAAATTATGTTATTGTACATAATATTTAGCATCAATTCAACTTGCCGAAACAAAAAGTCGCGAAATGGCAATTTCCCAGCTTATTTTCCTGGCCTGGGAAGTGTCTGAGTTTAGTTTTGATATTTGATAAAATTATTTTGTTTCAAATCCAGACGTTCTCCTTTCTGTTACTCTGCAAGTAATTCCAGCGTTTCAGGTTCTGTTACGTGTAAAAACAGGAAGGTGTTCCGTTTCGAATAAGAGAGCTCGAGTTACTTTCTTTGAAAAGTTATCAAAACATTTGTCTAACGCGGATCAAGCGCACTTATATAAAAACTTTAATATTTTTGTATTTTATTTTTCACGGGCAGAAGCAGAAAACGAAGTTGGATAACTCGGAAAATGTACCGCGATATATAATTGTGGCTCACGGTTCTAGCTAATCCAACTTCTCCCAACTCTTTAAGAAGTATCAAGATTTACATCTGCCGTTCTCTGGGAGTTTTACAACATCAAAGGTACGAATAATTACAAGTACAAAACGAGTCGTCCACAATTTATATCACGAGGCATTCAAACTATGACGAAATTTATAGCAGCGCAGTATTTTTGCGACTATAGGTATTCATTACTTACATGGCCTACACTTGTAAGCGACTTCGACGTACTTTCGAACTCCCGGGCAGGGGTCCCCCCCGAAGGTCTTCGGATTCGGCTGGAACTTGCACTGACGCTTCTTCTGGCAGGTCTCCACCACGGTCTGCAACAGCGAGTACTAGGTACCGTCAGTCAGATCAGCTGTTTTCAACCCTCGAGAGATGATACGTATATATGTATGCGTGAAGAAGCAACAGCCCAGTCATGTTAGCCACACCGATAATATGTACAAATTGCTATAGTTTCGATTATTGTTTGCGATCTACAAGCATTGAAAAGTAAACGTTCCTTTATTCGCCGTCAATAAATAAGCAGTTATAACAACGTTTCTTTTTTATTCATAACTTGGTAACACACAAATAACAAAATTAATATTATCACTACCAATATTCATAATTAGGCTTAGTGCGGCACGGAACTTAACAGGACCGTAGTCAGATTACGAATGAAAATATTAATATGTTTACAGAAAATATGTGGCAACATAGTACTATTACCAAAGAGTAAGGCTAAAAGGAGAAGGTAAGGTAGTCGGATTTTTGTAATTTTTGATATTTATGGTACGTGTAGTTTGGACCTTGAATAAGAATTTTCCGAAGTAGTTCGACGCAACGTTCATAAATTACCGAGATAATCGATTTTGAAGTTTTACCTGACAGCTAAATCCACTAGATGTGACACATTCTTTAACTGGGAGCGTGGCCTAATTGGTAGCGTTCAGGACTGACAGTCACGAGATCGTTGCTTCGAGTCCGTCGCGTGACATTTTTTTTTTTTTTTCAAAACGCACCATATGTTTTTTTATTATTTTTTTCATCTCGAAAATTATGAACAAACGAAATATTATAATAAATACTTATGTATATGTAGGAATATTCTTCAAATATTTCATTAAAATGCATGATAAACAATATTTATTATGAATTAACAATAGTTTCTTAAAAAAAAACAAACGAGGTCAGGTAGGTTTTTTATTTTATTTTTAGTATTTGACATTTTACGCAGTGTGGCATAAGCCAGAATGATAGTTATCGTCGAACAAAAATTACAAAAATCCGACTACCTTACCTTCTCCTTAAGTAGAGGATAAAATACCTTTTTTCCTAGTGCCCGGAATGTTTAAATTTGTCGTTTTGCTTAAAATCAATGTAATAAGTAATTGTTCACTTCATATTGATTTTTTTAAGTTAAAAATGACTTTTAGCAGTAATCCATATTTTTTTCATCAAAAAACGTTCATGATTCTAAAAATAATGAAAAATTTGTTTTTAAATTTTGTTTAACTGCTATTTGTACGATTAACATTCGAAACATTAGCAAAATCTTTCATTTTTATAATCAATAAATAAGTAGTTATCTGTAAAAAATAAATTAATGGAATCCTAACAACGCCTCGATTGATTTTTTGCGTTGCTAAATTCGTTGTGATGAAAGGTTTTTTAATGCTTTCTGATTCATTTTCAAGGAAACGAAGTATTTCCGTTAAAAAAAAACGGAATTTAAAACTTGGGAATTATTACAAGCTCGATAAAATTTGTTCGTGATATTTATTTTTCCTTTAATTTAAGGGCAATCTTATCGACTTCCCTTTGTTTTACCCGGGCCGATCTTCCAACGCAAACAGTGTAATATTTCAGGACACTGGAGTCTGAATATTTAATGGGGTATTCAAACCTCGGCTATTGGCATATTTTCGCATTGTTTTTATGACACGACCCAGTCAGATTACTGAATAATCATGCAAAATTGCGCAACCCACAATAAGCCTTTTTTGCTGTCTCACCCCAAAGTGCTTTATATGACTGCGGCAGCTATATTCTCATAGTGCTGCTGCGCTGCCAAGAAAAATAAACAGGAAGAAACCCCATTTCACCCTGAAACCTCGTAAACAGTTCGGTGTATTAATTACTCAATAATATCAAAAACGTGAGATTAAATAATTTTCGCTAACCTTTTGAAAACAATAAAAAAGAAAGGAACGCCATATTTCTGCTTGTCGTAGTTACATACGATAATAAATACCTATCTTTTATTAACATTCGAAACATTAGCAAAATGTATAAACTGGAATTATACAGGGTGTGGCGTGTATAAACTATAAAAATTAAACTACAGCTTCCTAACGATATTGGTAATAGAAAAGTCTTATACGAAAAAGTTCTATTTTTGCGTTTTTTTTTCGTAAGCTGCGTAAACAAATCGTCGTTGAATGATAGAAAAATACTTCTCAATTTTTGGGGAATTTTTCAATGCAAAAGTACAAATTAAGAAAAATAGATATTTAAAAAAAAAACTGATATTTTCTTATTATAATAATTAATAGTTAATTAATAATTTACTATATTAAATGCATTGTTGTTACTGCAAGAGTTCGCAAACAAACCACATCCGTAATCATCTGTAGTTGCCAACTGCGTGCACTAACTAAACTCCTTTAAAATATGGAACAAAATAAAACTTGCCATTTCTAGAGAAAATGTTGAAATTAATCCTCATTAGCGCGGATATAGGCATGGCACCGACGCACCCAATTTTGGCGAATATTTTCCTAAATTCCAGGTATTCCCCTAATTGTGTCAGCAGCTTCAAGTACACGGTTTCGCAATTCTTCCACCAGCAATTGGAGTATTGTAAACCAATGACTTCAAGTGACTCTAAAGACCGAGGTGGCCAGGCACAGAACCAAAGCGCTGAGGAAACATATATGGAGGAGGCCCATCTTGAAGATAAAACATGCGTGCCCGAACTGTAATGCCACATCGTCCAATAATTCAGGCAACCGGTTCTCCAAAAAGTCAGCAAATGTTGGTCCATTTAGTCGTTCTTCAAGGAAATAGGGACCCACAAGTACATCGCCTATTATGCCAGCCCAAACATTTATCGAGAACCGATGTTGAAAATGAGTTTCCCTAATCGCGTGAGGATTTTTATAGGCCCATATCTGTTACACAAACATAAGCAGGAAAGTCTACTTGATTGGCACATTGCCGTAAAAACCATCTGCAAAAACGCATTCGTTGATCATAATCCGGAGGTAGAATCTGTTGAACTGGTTGCAGATGATAGGGGTGCAACAACTGGCGCCTTAAGATGCGATGTACGGTACGAGATGAGGTTCCTACTTGCTGTGCGAGTCGTCGAGTACTAATTGTGGGGTCTTCGTCAAGATTTTCCAACACTGCATCTTCAACATTAAGGTTCACTTGCTGACCATATTCTTCCCCTCGAGGAATAACACTTCCCGTATCTCGCAGCCGCTGAACGCACTGTAGGATTGATTGTATTTGCACATGGGGGTGACGCTGTGGCCATCGTTCCCGGTACAACCTAGTCGCCGCGAGCGCATTTTCTCCGGCTGCACCATACACTAACACCATATCGACACGTTCGGAAATAGTAAATGCATTGTTTTCTCTAAAAAATTAAGCAAAGTAACAAATAAGAATCTCGTTTTTAATGTAATCAGCACGCTATTCTTATTTTTTACTTCTTTATAAAAATTAGACTGTCACTATCGTGGAATAACAAAATAAAAACTTTTGTCTGGAAGTTTTTAATGAATAACACAGGATCGGCCTTCATTTTCGTTGAATAAATGAACTTTAATTTACAAAAAAACGCGAAGATGGAACTTTTTCGTATAAGAGTTTTCTATTTCGTCGGGAAGGTGTAGTTTAATTTTTATAGATTATCACGCCACACCCTGTATAGCTACAAAATGGGTTCCAAATTACAACCGAGTCAATACTCTTTAAAAAACGTTTCCCATGACTGGACTGCGTCGGCAGAAGCAAGCCACGTTGCACTGAACATACCTGCATGCTGAATGCTATAAAATGTTAGTGTGTTATATATCATCTTCTCTAGTGAATCGTTCTCATTGCATTTTCATTCATACGTGTTCTTTGTTGGTATAAATTGCTGCCCATTTCGAATGCGTAGTTATCTTATATCCCCTGGTATTGACATTTTGATTAAATTATAATCAGAGGAGATCTCAAAGCTATGTCTTTCATAAGAGAGTGAATAACTAGAGATATTGGAACAATACCGATTTATATTCCATTCCATTCAGTAACGTAATGGAAAATCCTCCATATTTATTTTAACAGTTTCTCTTTTGATAGAATATTTTATTTTCAACTCTTCAAAAGAAACACACAGGCCTTCTATGTCATGAATTAAATATATTCTATTACGAATATGGTAAATTGCGATATTTATGGAATTTAAGTTATTACACAAACGCCCTTTTGTGCAAGCTTTTTCTATCTGCAAAAGCACATATCGTTTTATGCTTAAATTCTCTACAAGTGGCCGATGTTAATATCAATACCGAAAATTTCCCAGTGAAATAGGTAGCAATTTATGCAATTTTGTTTCACGAGGCCCAAAATCTAGTTTGTCTTTCCAATTTAGTACGCGAGATTGAATAAAAAAATAACAGGATCCCGTCACAAATTCAAAATAAAACGGAATTCGCATTTTAAAGATAAATAAATAAGTTTTGATGTGTGGTCCCACTGTTCTGTATATGACACAAACAATGTAGTACATAGATACTGTCCATCCGCATTTATATAAAGGCAATATAAATAAAATAAGTGCTTTGCCCAGGAAGATTTATATCTCATGTTCGCTGTAACTGACCTTAGGCATTAGTTTCCGAACAAGGAAATACACTGCAGAAAGTGAATAAAAAAAGAGTTGCCCCGTTCGACAGAGACGAGCTCGCATGATATAAAACAAATTCACGTCGCACAAAGAAGTATTCTCGGTTGTTTGTATAGTAAGAATGTTATATTATTTATTATTCTTGAATAAATTTGTGGCGCATCCTGTTTTTAGTGCTAATGAACCACTAAACCGTACACATAAACACTGTTAAACCAAATGGCAAAGACACGAAATTGGGTCTACGAGTTAAGCGAAATAATAAGCTGTTGTGTCGCAACCTAGCGTGTTCAGCGATGGGCCTATATAACTGAATACATGTATATTAAGCTATAATGATCACTTACTCTCCCCCAGTTGCCTTCAGATCCTTCCCACTTACTCTGTAAATAAGCATACAAGCGAAGCTTTTACAAATATATTTACAGCTATTTGTACAGGCTCCGTACACATAACTCGACCAATTCCATAATTAGAGGGTTAGTATTAGACCATTCTTACGTACTACATATAAATACCAACGCGAGTCGCCCTCAACTCGGTTGCCGGACACCTACAGGGTGTCCTCGGATAAAAAATGACCTGTTTCTTTCAAATATATTTCAGTATCTTTGGTAGACACTTTTAGGGTATGATGACTCATTTATACAGATTTTTTTCACTTCCATGGCCTTAGCTAGAAGTTTCAATGGTGGTTTCGTCTCCACAGACCCTAGCTCGAGAACAACAAGGGCAGGTCAAAGATTCCCAGTTAAGGCCAATGAAGTGAAAATACCCAATAAATGAAAAATAATTTATACAGAATCACGAAATTGTCGAATTGTCTCCTGCAAAATGTAAGTTTTGATGTAGCAAACTTTTTCTACAGGGTGTAAGAGGTTTGACTGCCATTACTTCAGCATGAGGTAGAGTAATCATAAATGAACAAAAAAGTTGTATATTACAGAGGCGTAAGATTAACAATTTCCAAAATACAGCGAGTATTAATATTGGGGAGATTCATCACAACGTGACTCAGCTCTTAACCTAACGCTAAACATCTGATGCATACCACGTGTGCACGCGGCAGACTTGTCCTAAGGAAAAAATGTAAATAACATCGATTTTGTAGTACGAAGATAGCGTTGTGCTTAAATTTTAGCTCGAATTTTAATAATTATGAATCTCTTAAAACAGGGACTTAACTTTTAAACAAATTATGAATTTAAAAAATATGTAATTAGAGTATCCGAAGATTCACGTACTCCAAATAATCATACGTAGTAAAAATAATTCAGGTATTTACTAAAAAGCGAAATTCAGTAATATTTAAATGCACTAGTACAAAACAAACTACAACATATGCTCAAAATGTCCACCATCATTTTCGATGCGCTGGAAAACACCTCAAGAAAAGGAATAGCGGCACGAAAAAAACACTCAGACACGGTCCAATTCCAGATTTGTGTATCAAGTAGGAGATTTTGATAATTTTTTTCTCGTAAACGGTTGAGTTTAGGCCCCATGTCGTATAAGGTTTTTTTGTTTATTTTAATGTATTCTATCGTCTGTTAAAATTAAGGCAGTCAAACTTCTAACACCCTGTAGACCCATAATTTTTCTCATTGCTATCATTCTTTATACTTTAATTGGTTTAGAAGATATTAAAATAACATCTTGCGACAACTTTGACTAAGAAACACCCTGTAGAAGTTTGGCAGTCGAATTCGGAGACACACCCTGTATAATCACAGAGACAACAATGTTGTCATCAAACATGCATTAATGATATGTTTCTCCTTTTCGCTCTACAAGATGAAATAGCTTTAAAAATCTATACAGAAACATTTTACCAATCAAGTTGAAAATTTAAAAAACTAGAAGGTGCTAATTACACTTTACTAGTGGAACTACTTTAATCTAACCTTATTTAGAATTAAAACCGCACTAGAACTTAAAACAATAAGATGCGTTTCTCTTGCCTCTAAATTAATTATCATCTTTACATTTTTAGTCAATTTATCCATATTGTGAAATACAAAAAAGTTAATTATATTTATAATATACTCCATCACTACGGCACAGGTCCCTCTTCTACCAATGCTTACAAACTGGTTTTCGAAACATTGCTAAAATTGTAACTAACGAGAAATAATATTTCATCGAGGCATTATTTGGCACAATTTTCTTGTGTTTCGATCCCATTGAGTTGTTCCGTTCATAATGGAACACCCTGTGTGTGCATCACCGAGAGAAAGAGAGATTATAAAGAATTATTTTTGTTTTGAAAAGAGGTGTTCACCGATCTTTTTGTTTTATTCCGGAACATCGATCAAAATAGATGTGCAGGCAGATGTTTTGCCGTAGGTGTTAGCCGGTTTGATTGTTTCCCGGGTAATACCGTCAGTTTTATTTTGGGCAATTTCTAAGTCTCTCTGGCTGTTTAATCAAATAAGTGGCAATGTAGCGGCAAATGACCGATAAATCCGTAGGAACTTTATAGAGCACTTCCGGTTTACCACGTACTAGGCCAGCGCAAGAAAATAAAGCCCCAGAATTTAAGCTATGACTTTACAACAAATTTGGCTAAATGGTCAAACGGTCCAACTTCCAGCCCGATAAAATGCAACTGCGAATGAGGAGAACCGAAATTAAGCCGGGTCATTGAATGGAAAACACTCGAACTGCGAGTAAACAGTATCTCTATTCATGTTATTGAGATGTTGGTTGCCACCGCAGTGTCTATTTGGAGTCCTCAATACATTTTAAGCACCGCCACCGTCTTGGAGTTTATATTGGGCCTTAAAAGAGCACTCTTGATCTTTGACGGCCACCGAATTACTGACCCGACACCGAGTATAATGTCACTTCATTTCGTCTGCACTCTTTCATTACGAACTGGACAAGTCTGAGACAAATTTAATATACAGGGCGATCAAAATGCAATAAGTTGCTGTCTCAACTCTATCACGAATACCCCGTATATTCTTTTTTCTTTATATCTTTGTGCGTATCCTTGCTTGATATAGTTTTGTTAATTGGTGCTAGGGTGAAAATAAAGAAGTCGACCGTCGTTGAGGCGTTTTAATGGAATTCAACTGGCGTGAAATCGCCTTGCTCTAAAACACCAGACAATTAATTAAATTTTCGATCAAACTGACATAAATTACAACTCTTGCTCTGCAAGCAAAAGTTGTACAAATATTGGCCCAATTATACCCAAACTTTTAACTGTTTAAAGAGACTTAATTCTCTTTGAATGCTACACCAACATGCACACATAGGAATTACGTTCGGATAATTCTTGTGTTAATTACTGCTTCTCTCTTCAAAGGCTAACTTTTTCGGATAAATTTCACCCAACCTTCTAAAATAACATTTATCAAAAATAGGCAATAAATACTCTAATGGCATCACTAGAAATGAAATAAACGATGAGAGTACAATTTTAATCATAAAAATGTCACAATATCGTGAAATACCTTAGATTAGAATTCGAAAGTGTAGGAAAAATCTGACAAAATGCAAACAAGTAAAATGTTAGTGAAATCAGTATTACATTCATCAGTAGAATAAATTCTTGTGTTAATTACTGCTCCGCTCTTCAAAGGCTAACTTTTTCGGATAAATTTCACCCAACCTTCCAAAATAACATTTATAAAAAATAGGCAATAAATACTCTAATGACATCACTAGAAATGAAATAAACGATGAGAGTACAATTTTACTCATAAAAATGTCACAATATCGTGAAATACCTTAGATTAGAATTCGAAAGTGTAGTAAAAATCTGACAAAATGCAAACAAGTAAAATATTAGTGAAATCAGTATTAAATTCATCAGTAGAATAAATTCTTGTGTTTCTTCAAACAAGAAGTGGCCACTACGAGTACAATAGAAGTTATAAACAAGTTCGAAGGTTTTATAAATACCTTAAATTGGGATTCGAAAGTGTAGCAAAAACGAGCAAGATATGCAGGGAAATCATTAATATTAGACTAACAAGTAGAATAAATCCTGGAGTTTTATTTTAAATATGGTCTGGACTGGAACTGGGTACCTAATAAGGTCGTTTTAAAATTAATTTAATATCAGGGCCTAAGAGAAATAGGGATGAAAGAAATTTCAGCTATGCCAGGCAATATCGAATAAAAAAAGATTAAAACACCTTTCCGACGTTCACCTACATTACTTATCCCGTGGCGGGTTCATTTAGAAATTTACAACAGAAAGGCAGAATATAATAAAAAAAAAGTATCTGACTAAAGACCTTATAAAAAAGAACGGGTCTTCCTAATTTATATCTATTACCAAAATTACCGCATATAAGTCTCGTCCGGAAGTTCTCTAATTGCATAAATGATCTCTGTTTAGGGTAGTCAAAGAAAAAAATGTAATATGTTAGTGTAAACGCGGCAGAAGTTCTAAATTAATATTACTTGATTCACGTCTACATCAAAATGCAACCCGCTAGGGGTCTATCTCGTAAAAAGGGATGGTTTTTCTTCAAATTTCGCCTGCATAACATCAAGAACGTTACTTAAAATCGATACAAGGGTTTAACGTTGTGGAACTGTGGACTCGTTTTTCTCGATATATTTTACACCATCTTTTTTTGTACGAAAGACAAAAGGGTAAGGAACGGTAGTTGACACAGACAAAAAACTCTTTCCCCACTTAATTAATATAAATATATGAAACTATATCTAAATTTTGCCCTGAAAAGTCAATTATTAAAAATCTGGTGTGGGAATAATACCGCATACGCTAAAGCCTTTCATACACAGACATGCTTATGTCTTGTTTATCTGGAGACACATTTATATGATGAAAATCTCATAGTGTGGAGTTTTCCAAAGTTCCCACCGAGTATTGATATATATCCTGCATACGCCTCCAAAGGGGAATATAAAACAGGACGAAACAGGAAACAATGGTACAGCATAGGGCCAATAAAGTGTTCTATGTGTCGGAAGTGGAACGTGATATCTGCCCACAGTGGTATTCAAAATATTTACACTAAATATAGCTGTGCACAATCAAGTTGTTTGTACACATGTCAAATTTCTGATTGTTTAAGTTTTGCGCTTTGATGTGTGTGCCCTGCTTTAGACTTTTATAGTTTTCGTGGCCTGAAAAAACTTTCTAGGGATCTACACTTTTATTATGCGAGTTGTACTGAAGATAGCAGCAAAAATTAGCTGCCCCCTCTTACATCCAAGAAGTGGGATATTTCGACAGATCCGTCCTGGTCTAAAAGTTTTGTTAAGGGAGAGAACTGTAATAAAACACAATAATTATTTTATACAAAACGACTAATTGTAAGCCTCCTCTTAGAACGAGCCGCCACTGCCTGTTTCTAGCAGAAATGTAGTTTCACCGGATTTAACCCATTTAACAAGTACAGAACCAATATTAACTTATCTATCGATCACTACCTCGGTTTGATTCAGACACAAAAGATAAGAAGTTGTCTAACAGGAATTTTATTTGGAAATTTCAACAACTACGATTTCCTTTATTTGCCACTTGCCAAGTTGGCAATTTGGTTATATTATTTTAGTTTATTGGATTTTCTCCTCCATTCGAGGATGTTCGAGGCTGAACTACGCATTAGAATACTCTACCTAACAGTATTCGTAAACAGAAATTACGCTAATAATCATTTACGGACTTAAAACAAATTAAATATTTCTCTAATTCTTTTCTCTCTTTCTCTCACAGTTTTCATAACTACAAGTTAAAAATTTCCACAAACTCGTTTCACGTGTTATCAGAAGTAGACGTGAAGATTTTATCCCAAGTTTAATTTTTATTCTAAAAAATCCTGCAGAATCGGAATGTGCTCCCAGAAAAATAAATGAACATTAATTTAAGTATTTATTTTTGACTAACCTCGTATATGTATACACTGAATACTAGACTAGACCACCATACCCAGACGTTTTTGGGGTCGCTGAATCCGAATCCCATGTTTATTTGACGAAGGTAACTCAACTCAAGGTTATTTGAAGGTCAACTCTTGGCTTTTGATGTTGATACAATTTCTGACTCCGGATTTTTAAAGAGCGAGAAATTTTACGTTCGAAGATGTGGATGAGTTACTTTTCCATTTTCAAGTTCAGTTGAAGGTTAAATCCCCTTCTCAATATATATGTATTCTGCTAATAAAGACATTATTATTATTATTAATATTCTCAGGTTGGTATCTCATCAGGATAGTGAGACGTCGGGAAAATCGCCTCTATAAAAGTTATTTGGGTCATCGGGGACTACCATCTGATGACCTTGGACTTGACCTTGAAGACCACGTTCAAGGTTATTCCTAGGTCAAAGCCATTTTTATGCCCTCAAAATCATGAAAACCAGATTTCATGAATACCAAAATCATCAACTCACTATCTTAGAGTCCTTAAGGTCACATCCAATCATGACTTAACCTCACCAAATGGTCACCTGAATCGGATTCAGCGACCCCACATGATTGTATTCATTGGATTTTTGTAAGTACTTTTCCAATGAATTTTAAAATATATGTTAGTTTTAGATAAATATTAGTTGTATTCTCATAAAGGGTAAACTTTAGACGATCTAAAAATAATCAAATTCCTTTCACAGACGGTTTTAGACAGCTTTAGTTGTCAAATAAACGTGATTTAGCTTAATGTCTCGTTGTTGGATACTGGTGAAACCAATTTCCGGTCAAACCGGATCTTGAACAAATGAACTACTATCGCTGAAATGTTTCTAATGTGGTCTTGTATCATTTTGTGCAGAGATACAGGATGTTATTTCTAAAAAAATCGGTCAACCAATAAAGCGAAAAAAGAGACTGTTTTTACACTTAAATATTACAGCAAATTTCATGTGTTAACTTTTAAAAAACACTTAGTAAATGAAAACCTAAGTGATTTCCCCAGCAAAGTTGTAAACAATTTTTTCTAACAAAAAAACCTGCAAAAAATGACATTATGATCATTTTCCGCAAGATTGTTTTTCCAGCTTCAAATTTGACGGTTATGAATTTTTGATAAAAATTTCTATTTTAGAGGTTTTTCCAGATTTTCTCTGTAAAAAATGAACCGATCGGGTCGCAAAAAAAACATTTTATAGTTTTTTTTTTATTCTCTGCAAAAGTCCTATTGAGAGTAAGACGATTCCATGATTATTTTTCGAGATATTATAAAAAAAACAAAAAATGTAATTTTTTGCAGTTTTTATAGTTTAAAAAAAAATTGTTCACGACTTTGCTGGGGAAATCACTTGGGTTTTCATTTACTATGTATTTTTCAAAGGGTAATACATATTTACTGTAATATTTAAGTGTGGCAAAAAATTTCTAAATAAAGTTCACTTGTTTTGCCGATAACATTTTCTGATTCCGAGGGACTTTTTACATACGTTTATATATTTCTTCAATCAAATATCTTGACAATAAACGAGTAAATTGGAAATATATGAGATTTATGGATCTCCCTGTACAATATGAGTGGTAAATGTAAAATAAAAGGCCTTCATTTTGATCATAAATTCCTGTTGAATACAATTTAAATTAATATTCACTTTATTGCGAACGTTTGAAATTTTTAATTGAGTTTCTTCAATATTGTGTCAACAATTTTTTGCGGGAGTAAATCTTTTTTTTTAAATAAATAACCATTTAATATATGAACGATTCTTGTTAAATTCTTGAGTTTAGATAAAATCGTATCCTAATAACCTAACATTCTGAAAAGAAAAATATTTGAGAGCAGTTGTAGCTCTTCTAGTTTCTTTTATATCGGACATGTCTGACTGGCTTCTCTATTTTCCAGAAAAGTACATGATATTTATTTGTTATATATTAGTTAAAAGCATAGCAGTCTGGTCCAATTAGGAAAAGTTTTAACAAGCTACAATCTCACGATACGAATTGATGTTTTTATTTAATTAAAATTGTCATGATATGTTTTATTTTTACTCTGGTGTAGTTAACAAGCTAGGTTTGATTCATCGGTCAACGTCATTTAGTATCCTGTCTTTTTTGATAAATGGCCTCTTTATTTTTCTCTCTCTTCCTCAGTTCACAATAAAATTAATATTAATTTTAGATACGCCCATAGAGGAAACGTAATATTTTACCAAAAATATTTCGGGTACACTTAATAATAAATTATAATAAATAAAGGACCGTCTCATATATTTTTGGAAGAAAGATGGTTTTTATACAACTTTTATTAGTTCCAAGAGCGTTATCAATCTTGTGCCCAGTGCTATTTACAAAATGCGGTTATAGAACATTGTAAAAGTCCTAGAACGGTACAAAATTACATTTCAACACTTAACAAACCACAAAAACAATTATTGTACAAACTTATCACAAATTTACATACAAAATAGAAAAAACATTTAAATAAAAACATTTCACAAGTACGAAAACAAGGACAACATTAAATTTTTGTTTACTCCAAATTCTCTCCTGATCTAACCTAAATTTAATATATCCTTTCATCTTTGTTATTTTTAACACCAGTAACACTTGACATATGCTGCACAAGGTACAAAACAACCACAGTGATAATAAAAAAAGATTAGTTAGTCAAAAATACATCCAGAGTTAGTAAATCCAATAAAATACACGTAAATACTGACCTGGATAGCATTAGGCCATAAGCAGGACACGTTGTAGCTGTAGGACATCCTGGAAATGGCGGAAGGGGTGGACCTGACCCCACATAGTGACTTGGAAGGGGCAGATTTCCCATACTGGGCTACTTCGATGGATATGCTGGTTCCCGGGGGACACTTCAAGGTCACAACTTCATCGTCGCACCCTGCTCGTTGGTAGGTCCTTAGGGTTCCTGATAATAAAGCTGGAGTCGTGAAGATGTCAGAGCACGACCAAACCACCACCGAGAGAGAAAGAAAAAAGGCTATGTTAGAGAGAGGAAGAACCACCACCAAGTTAGTAAGATCTTATTTTGTTAACAAAAATAATAAAGGGTATCTGTCTGTTATTATTTTAAAAACTATACCTAAGTATCTGGTTATTAACAGTGACAATATTTTACGGCTATTCCGTAAAGCATATGAATTAATTTTGAGCTTGTAACCGATTACACGGAATTATTAATAATGCCGTTACACATTATTAATAATTTCGTATAATTATTTATGCAACGTAAATAAATTCGTGTTTTAGTGGTTGAATGAGAGACAAATTTGTGTTGAAAATTGTTACAAATCGTTTAAATAAAATCTATGATGAGATTAGAAACGCCATTTTATATTAAAAATTATTAAAATGATACATTTCCGTGGTATATAATTTGGAGTATTCAATAATATACACTGATATTGTAAAGATTTAGTAATAGTCGCATTATTCATTAGTCAATTATCTTGCAAAAATAAACCAGTTTAAAATTCCTTTAAAATCACAATTATTTAATACCGGTTATACGTGCAAATAATTAAAATAGGTCAAACCGTCCCAATTCCTGGAAGTCCGAATACTCGGAATGCAGTTTTTTCCGGTTCTTCTTGCTAGGCAGGCGTCGACCTTCAACTTTTTGGATGCAAGCTTATCTATTTCGCCACTGTTAGCGGCTAACGGTGTGTCGCGTGGGTTAGGTGTTACTTATCTCCAGTGAATTTTTAATGTAATTAAACGCTTCGTATTTAAAAAATAGTGAATTTTGAACGTTTTTATAACTGTGGTGCTACTTGTTATTGTGTTTGACACTGTTTTTGTGCGTGTGAAGATGAGAAGCAAATTGGAAGCTGCCGCTAAAGGTTAGGTTATGATCATTATTTTGATTTTGTTGTGGTATGAATCGTTTTTACGTCGTTGTTGTTTTAGAAAACAATATGTTTGTAATGAAATTTTATAATTTAACATTACTTTACTATAATTAAAAAAAAATTAGATTAGTAAGTGTAGGAAAGGTAGTGCCAACTAACGAATAAAATTGTCACAGCCATCTTTCCAGCGTTTCAAAGTTTTTCGTTTCTTTTTATGGATTTGTTTTTGTTAGAATTGCACACAATGTTTTACTGTAATAAATGATAATATGTATGTAGCTATGTGCGATAGAAACGTTTCCTAAAATAAGTTACAGATTGATTTATTTTGATAGAGTTCATACGTAGAAAGAAAATACATTCCGATCGTGTGATTTGTCAAGACAAATTTTAAAATAATGCATTTCTTTGAGTAAAATCAATTGTATTATATTGTTTCCAGTATTGACAATTTACTAGAGTTGCAAACGTAACGTTTTTATTTGTTCACCGACTTTAATCTGTTTATAGATGCGTGTTTCATTCTTTTGATAACTCTAAACATTTACAATTGCAAATATTTAATACAAACATTTCATGCAAATAATTCAAATTCAATTCCTCGAAGCACGAATGCAGTTTTCAAAGTAATAGGTGTCAGTGGTTACCGTTGTGTGGCGTCGGGTCCGTTTGATTTATTTTAGTGAATTTTTAATATAATTAAACGCTTCGTATTTAAAAAATAGTGAAAAGTGTAAACAAACTTTTAATAACTGTAGTGCTACTGAGTATTGGTTCGATGCTCTTTCTATCCTGTGTGGAGATGAGACAAAGCGATATGAAAGTTGCAGTTAAAGGTGAGCATTGTCTTGATTTTGTTGTAGGCTAGATTGCTTTCTTACGTCTTTATTAATTTATAACACGATATGGTTTAATGCAGTGCTGTAATTTAACGTTTTTACTTTATTATCAGTAAAAGAAAATGTGGATGGGTAAGGGTAGGAAAGGTAGTGCCAAAGGCTGGGAATAAAATTGTCATAGCCATCTTTTCACCATTAATACAGGGCGATTCAAAATTCAGTACAGAATTTAGGGGCGTATTTTTGAGGTCAAAATAAGCCTTTTTTTCCTATAAGTGTAGGTCCACAAATGCTTAGTTTTCGATATACTTACAGGATGTTAAGTCTTTTATTTTTTAGGAATAATGCACACAATATTTTCAAATTTTATTGACTATTTACGGTGAAAAATTATAAATTTATTCACCATCTAATCAGCAATGCAATGATCTTGAATTTTAGCCCTTTACATTTTTTTCATATAACTAACCGTTTTCGAGAAAATCACTGCTAACTAGTGACAATACTACCGTTCAATCAGCAGTGATTTTCTCGAAAACGGTTAGTTGTATCAAAAAAATGTAAAGAGCTAAAATTCAAGATCATTGCATTGCTGATTAGATGGTGAACAAATTTATAATTTTTCACCGTAAATAGTCAATAAAATTTGAAAATATGGTGTGCATTTCATCAGTAATGTAATCTGATCCTTTAAAAATAAAAAAAAGTGTTAACTTAAAAATTTACTGTGGCCGTCCTAGTGATGTTAAATTACTTGTAATTTATGGAAATGTAATTTTACTGGTAAGATTTCACGTAAGTTACAAATTAGCTTGTAATTTATGACATTTAAATTTTAAGTGTACTCAGCTTGTTTAGCTTCTCAGTATTCAGTTTCTATAAAACTAGTCCTGCAATTTAATGATTAAAAAATAATATTTGTCGATTTTTATGCAAAAAATTAAAATTTTTATTCATATAAGTAACATTCATATAAGTGCAGCAGTAAAAATAAAATAAATCAAATCTAAATACAAATATTTAGGTTTCTATTTAAAACAGCTTTTGTTTCTTTAAGCATTTGTTTTTCTGGGACATAGGCCTTTTTTGGTAGAATGTATTACAATTAACAGTTTTTAATTCTTCGTCCTTTATTTCTGTTTCCTTTTCTACCTCTTTCGTTCTATCTATTTCTGTCAGTTCGGTCTTTGCATGGTCAACCTAAATTTTAGTCAAAATTACGAACGAAAAATGCAACAACGAAAAACAAACCTTTTCAAGTGAAATATTTTGTATAACAATAACACGCCTTTTTTCATTACATTTTGTCTCAAATCCTTCATTTCTTTCAGGTAATACCTTATTCTTAGAGCTTGTATAATCCGGGTCCTCATCCTCACTATCACCATACTCTTCAGAATGAATGCTAATATTGTTAAAATAAAAGAAATTGGCGCGATATTTAAAATTAAGTGTAGATTAACATTAATTACAGTAAATTACATAATTTACGTAAGTTACAAAAATTACATAAATTACATCCGTTATCTCGCGGTGCGTAATATTACGGTAATTTCACAGTAATTTATGTAAGTAATAATTTGTCATTTTACCATTTACATCACTAGGCCGTCCTAATTAACCGATTTCAATTTTTCAAAAACCATTTGAAAGGTTGAGTCTTTTCTATGTGAAAAAAGTATAAAGTATCTAGATGCTTTATTTGAGGCTGTGCAACATTTTGAAAATTCGAAAATTTTTTATCAAAATTTTTTTCAAAAAATTATTTTGCGAAAACTATACCTAGAACCGATTTTAATGAATTTTTGAGTGTTGTTGTTATAAAAATTCCATCGGATTCTTACGCAAGGTTATTTGAACATAAATGTACCAATATACAGTGTGATTCACATAATCGAGACAGACCTAAAAATATTTTTTTTAGCCTAATTAAAGAAGACGATATATTTCATAAAAACAAAAAAATTGTCGCCGTTGGCCAAGACTGAATTATAAAGGGAATGGGACTATCTTTCACGAAGCCCGCCTGGCAATCAAAAAGTTTGTGAAAAGGTTTAACCGGAAGTGAATATTTAAAAAAAACATCTTAAAATCGTGACCCAAACCAACTTGTTTTATATTTTTTTTTGTGCAAGGGGTGTATAATTATTTTTCAAACATCTTTCTTTTCGTTTTAAGTTTTGCGGAATTAATTGGAAATTAAAACGTTGCTGTAAAACGATAATCTGAATCACCTTTTAATAAATAGGTCCATTTTCCAGGAAGTCCGATAAGCAAGAATCACCTAGACTGTTTATTGACTTATTTACTAAATTAAAATTGCTCGAAATGCATTTATTCCCATTAAATTGATTTGAAATCGCAGAATTTAATGCACTTCCACTTAAACCGGAAGAAGGAGAACAATTTGGTTGCTAATGCCCATTAGTTTATCTAACTGCACAATAATCTATTAAAAACTCGCATTTAAAAAGTTTTGAGCGTTATCTTTATCAAGAAACAATAAATAAAGGCCGTCTACAAACATGCACGTATAGAAAATATTTGAGTATTTTAATTTCCACACTGAGGGAAATATCTTTTAGCCACGAGTATAAATTGATTAAACCTAAACACTGATTGCATAAGATTTGAACAATTCGTTAAAATTGACCCTGTATACTGAGGTTTTTTAAGTCCGTGCCTTAAACTTACGACAGGAAAATTATTAACGCGTATTTATCGTAAGAATGGTGGCCGAAATGAAGGTTTATTCGCGTTAGGTACATATTACATCTTTATCTGCAATAAGGATGACGAGTGAGGCACAGCATCGCGCGGCACCGTCCTAGTTTTAGTATTTGGGCCATTCTTGTAGCTCGTACGGTCGCACACTGATCAGGCTGTAGCTCTAATATATGCGCTTTCAGTGCCGGTCCCGGATACATGTACCCTGTCTCACCGGGATTTATTATGCCCGCTTTACTGGCTTTTTGTTAAAATTCCCACTGCTCGTGTTATGTCGGAACAAAAGCTGCATTTTCTCGATATGAGCTCACGCTAAGACCACATCGACATTATCAACTGATTTACTTGCACCTTCATCAGCTTTGCATTTGTAATTTTTCACGAAGGGGCTCGCCCCCTATCTCCCTTTCTAAAATTCAAATCCCACGCCAAACGGCGAACTTAGTACTACTCTCGAACCAATTAGTCGTCGAGATAAATATTTATTGGAAGACAGATATCGC